CGGAAACGGTTCCTCTCTTGATTTATGATATATAAATTTATTTATTAATGATATATCGTTCTTATTAATCTTTTTAAGATGCATGGGTGAATATTTTTTTGCCTATGAGGTTTTTGGGATAATGACAAAAATATTGACAGGTAACCTCAAGATTATTCTTGCACCTGAAATAGATGAGAAGTGGGTGTGGGAGTGGGGAGGGACCAAATATCCCTGCACTCTAAACAGTGTTGTAACCAAGTCATTTTTCACAAGTCAAGTTACAGGTCAAATTTTCACAAGTCATGTCGGAAGTCAATTGCTCCGGAGTACCCTCGCAAGTCCATTTTTTTTCGAGTCGAGTCACAAATCTCAAGTCAATTGTTTCAATGCTTGTGAACGTATTACGTCACAATTTACAAGGTACCTTTACCCTTTGAAGGTAATTAGACGTTCATTTCAATTAAGGAGGACATGAAAGTTTGACCTTAAATTCAGTAATTTTGTGTGCACTGGAAGCCTGTATTTTTGGATGAATAATACTGGATGTTGCAACGTAAAGTTCTTTTGTTTTAAGATAACAAAATGGCTGCCAGTATTTGTAATGAGTTATAAAACTCTTTTATGTTTTCTTTAGTAAGGGATTTATAGCCAATTTATTTATAGTTTTGTTTATGTTTCAGAGGTAATTTAAGAATTATTTTCCAATGATATGAATGCAAATTATGCTAAAATATTTAGAAAAATTGATTTATTAATTCCACATGAAATGTTTGGGGCTACTGGACCGCCATTTTGTCGGGGCTACTGACCGCCTGGGTCAGTTGCCCCGACACACGGTGTACATGAAATTCCATATTATTTCATTTGCTTTATAAGAGTATAGTTGTTTACTACTGTTCATTCCGGCTATGATACAATTAGATAGCGTTTAAGCAGAAAAATATGTTTGCGGTTCCTCCAGTTGCTTAAGAATTTTCTCAAAAGCAAAGGCATGCGTAAAGTGAGGCCCGTGTGAGATACGTACACTTGAAAAATCTTCTAATCATGGTTAAGTGAATACAAAATGCCTATGACAAACAACTCCATAGGGGCCTATTGCAGGATTTTTTTCTGAGAAAAAGTAGAAACTCTTCAAATGGCATTTAAACAATGTATTGAACACTTTGGCGCTTCTAAGATATTCACAGTTGCTATTTATCCATTTCTTGCTTAGTATATTTATTTCTTACACTTTTGGTGACAAATATTAAGGTTTTATAATGCAGACCACTTTCCCCAGGAGTGGAGCTAGTGGCCTACTTTTGGTTGAATTTATTAATTATTTAATATTCATGTGTCTAATGAATGTGATTGATTTCAACTGTTTCTTGGATCCTTTTTAGATTTGTAAGAATTGAAATGTGCTTAACGGGTCCAGTAGCCCCTTCTTCACCATGCAGGAAGCCTAGGTCGCTATACATGTACGTACATCATTTCCTTGGCTTTTTGATAAACCGATTTTGCGTACGCCCAAAAATGTGCGTCTATTTTATTAAAAGTTTTAATTTCAGCAAGTGAAATTTAATGAAGTCAAGCCAAGCCACAAGTCATCTCTTTTTTTCCAAGTCAAGTCAAATCTGAAGTCAAAAAATGGCGACTTCAGTCCCAGCGAGCAACTCGATTGAACAATACTGGATTTAAACGGGCGAAAATGAAAAGATGAACAAGTGACGCAGTCGAGCCAGAGATGTAGTCCAGTCCATCACAAGTACTTGCAAGTCTATCGCAAGTCCTCCAGTCCCAATCAACTCACAACCTATTCAAATAAGATTTGGCAACGGAATTCCGTTGTTATTGCTTATCAACTGTTAGTTGTGACTGGACTTGTGATAGACTTGACTACATCCCCGAGCCGAGTCCACCTCATCCGAGTCCGAGCCAGCCCATGTCCACGAAGGCTCGAGTCAGAGTCAAGTGTTGTCTGAGTGTAACGATCAGGATCCAGAAGAATCCGAGTTCATTTTTGTCCGAGTCCGGCTCAAGTGCAGGACCAAATTATTGTCAAGTCCGAGCCAAGTCCGAATGCAGTCGTAACACCATCGACCAAGTGTGTATGCAAGAATCTAAATATTTTCATCCGTCCATAGTAGAACGATGATCGGCACAACAAGAGAAAGACGGGTCTTCCGATGTGAGTCCATGATGGAGTCCGTGCGCGCAAGAGTACGTTGAGCATTTAGTGACTGTCTGATTGGCGTCTTGCGATTATAAAGGCGATTGTCCCAGGCAAGAGTTAAAAGCGATTAGACAACAGACACGGGACTGTTTTAAGCTCTGACAGGAGCTTCTACATGTCTCTTGGTGGTCGGTCTGTCGGTCGGTCTTTCTGTCCTCAGAGCCGAGTCATGAGTCAAAAATAAATGTATTGGAGGCCGGAGTCGAGTCTGAGTGTGGACTACCCTAGCCACGTTGTGCATACAGCTTGGATGTGAATTACGGGCGACATGGCAATGACATGCGCCTATGAAATTTACTGAATACACTTCCCATAGACTGTGTTATTGTTGGTGTAGTAATTATAAAATACAGACTCACACATATCTAGGCCTCAGTGGACAAATTAGACTAAACGGGTCACGTGCGAGGCTCAGAGTCATAGGGGGTAAATGAGAGCAAATTCCATGGGAGTCCAAGTTCACATGATAACGGCCGTGACCATTGCAACCTACTTTGAGTTTGAACTACTCTCACCTGAGAGTTGGTATGGCCAAGCTAGTCTGGGCTGGCATCGAACAAAAATAACTAAATTGCTCAATTGCCCAGCACTATAGATAAATCTTTTTGTGCAGTTGTAAAATTCACATCGAAATTCATTCATGCCCAATTTTTCGATTAAGCTTCCTTCTCGTAAAATTGTGATTTTCAATTGTCTAATTCATAGAAAAATATTACAGTTTCATTTTTGTTCGACACTCGGCCCACAGGGCACACGTTTCGATGTTTCTTGTTTGGTTGTGCTTATTGGTCATCATTCCGTTTAGGAAAAACATCTTGTTTGAAATAGGCATATATGATCATTTGTTTTTCATGCATATTATTTGCAATAATAACACCACTCAAAATCCAAAGAAGAGCGATCAAAAGCTAATCTGTGCAGTCTCAATGCAGTTGATATTTACTCTTTTCAAGAAAACAGTGAAAACCATGCAAAACAAATTGATCACGACACACGATTGCGTCGATAGAACTCCTTATTCCAAAATCAGCCCATTGACCGATCGTTGGAAATCACCATAAGTTCTAAATGACAACAAACCAGCCGGAATAGTTTCACGGGGAGTTTAGTACCACTACAATCTTTAATTCAAGTCAGCTTTTGGATAACAATTTGGTAGATTACTTTTGGGATTAATGCAAATGATTACATGCTTTTAAATCGAATAAAAGTCTCAGGCAGTTTAAGCGGGTTTTCGGGTTTCTGATTCCCCTTCTGTTTATTTCATCCGAAAGAATTCTATTTGGGTTTTGGGGTTTCTGATTCCCCTTCTGTTTATTTCATCCGAATGAATTCTATTTTTTACAACTCAAAAGAAGCTAGAGTGCTCCAATGCAAGAATAAAAGAATTAATATTTGTACAGGTTGAGTAAAAAAAACCCGAAACCCAAATGTCGGCACTTATGTTTTAGTGAAGTTCTTCATGTAGTACTTTGAAATCTAGGATATGAAAGCCCAATTTACAAGCTTTCTTTTAGTACAAGAAGCATTCAAATCACCCATGTACTTTTCAAGTTGCGGAATTTTAAACACAACCACCGTTTTAAAGTTCTGTCCACGGATCACAAAAAAGGTATCTGTTCTTTCAGCAAAACGAAACCAATTCACACACATCCCTATGTGATTTGTTTTCGTTTTGCTGAACACTGAACTTTTTTTGTGATCCGTGGACAGAACCTTAAAACGATGGATGTGTTTAAAATTCCGTAACTTGAAAAGTACATGAGTGATTTGAATGATTCTAGTACCACAACAAAGTTTATGAAATGGGCTTTTATATCCTGGATTTTGAAAGTGCTACATGCAGAACTTCACTAAAACAATAGTCCCGACATTTGGGTTTTTTTTTTTTTTTTAACTCACCCTGTAGTGAATAGCAATGTTGGATCGGTGGTTTGTATTACTGTTGATGACTCGAGTCCGTGTTTTCCTTTCTTTAGTGCTAATGTGGAGCTAGGTTTGTAACATTCACTACGTGTCTTCCGATTTAGACCCTCCTACAAACACCATGGGTAATCTCAAGAACCCATCCACGACGACAATCACACTCACAACCCTGTCAAGTTTAACATGTTGCAAGAACGACGTGTTTAAAATTATTGCAATCAAGCGTGCGCTAGACATCAGCTTTCAAAACATTAGGACTATAGACACAAAGAAAAAACGCATGGGCTTTTGTTTTATAGCTACAAACAGGCCTATACATAATTTAAAAGAATTGTCTGTGACTATTTTAAAAGAATTTTAACATCCGCATGACGGTAAACCTAGGACCATTGTCCACAGCAGAAAAGCATTTGTAGCTGAACCTTGTCCTACATTGATATCTGCTTGAATCTAAGCAAGAATCAGACCCATCGGTCTTGACTCCCCCCCCCCCCGAAAACTATAGCCTCGATTGATCTGAAACTGTTTCATTGCTTACACGTTCTAAAATTCGTTAGAAAAAAGAAGGCCTACACGAGCTGGTTGTTTCTTTCCTTTGTCCTTGTAATTGTGGAACATGTACTTCATTGTAGATATCATTCCACTGCCTTCATTTTATACAATGATTGCAACGAACGACTTGCAAATCCATCGTTTTAGTAGGCGTTCGCGACGTACACCACAAACAGGCGCGTTATCGTAATATTCATCTTTAAATCAAACATGCAACAGTTGTCAAAAAGCTAAAGCAGGCCATGTGACCAGACCCGCCCACAAAAGTTAATTTTCCTTGTTCGATCGTATAAAAGCGCCTGGGCGCGAGGTCCTGGCTATTTTTTTGATGACCGGCAAGCGATCAACAGATCAGCTAACAGTCAATCAGCTCAGCTCATCAGTTATCATCATTAACAGCAAAATGAAGGGCCTTCTGTGCGCACTTGTTCTGGCAACGTGTGTGGGTAAGTGCTGCAAAGAGAGAATTGATAGGAAAAGAAGTGGGGAAAATGCTACGAACGGTGTTGAAACAAGGACAATAAACGAGATAGATGTATTTGTTTATCAGTATGCTTTTATCGAGACTTGGGACAGAAAAATACTTTCCCTTGTATCCCATGCTCACAGAACTACCCCTCTGTCTGCGAGGTCATGGGAAATACAACGCATAGCTTGCCCTCTGTAAAACAGAGGATTATGTTAGACACCAATTCTACTTGCAGTCAATCTCCTCAAGAAGTCTTGTCATTCAGACAGACAGACAGACAGTATTGTCCTTTGAGTGGATGTTTTTGTTAAATATGGAATGATATTATGATGTTGTGCATCGGTGATTGTATAAAGTTCTGCTAAATTGGAAGTAAATACCTACATCCCCTCGACCAAAGCCTTGGAATGTCACTGGGAATATTACAAGGCATGATTTTTTTTTTTTTTTTTTTTACAACTAATCGTTCCTTAACTGGCCTACAAACAAAGTTATGCGTTGTCTATTTCATTCGAAAGAAAAGTCTGGTTTCCCATTTCATGGTATCGGCAGTTTTCATTACTGAAATGGTGAATTAGATGAATCAGATATATTTCATGCTTTCAAGTTGTAAAAGCTTAAATATCCACCGTAAATAAGAAAATGAACATGTAAGAATCGCGTTTATTTCAGGTATTCCTTGAATACAGTGCAACACCCTACGAATTTTGCCATACATTTTGTGCTTGAATTTTCGGATTATTCAAGTTTAAATATACGTAATTCCTTTCACATGGAGGTTACATATTGCTTTTTGCGGAAGATGAAAACACTCCCAAAGTAATCAGAATTTTGGGCCTTGCATATCCAGTCATTGCATGTTAGTTTGTGATTTGTGGCATTTACGCGTACCTGTAAACACCCGGCCCGTTTCACCAAGTTTTCATGCAATTTAACGCCTGGCTCATTCAATTTAGATTGAACTTGAAAGATCACGCACATTGTCATTCGACAATCAAAAAGAATCATTCAATTTCACTATCCGAGCATTTTATGGTCTTTTCGCTTCACTCGTCCCTGTAAAGGATACATTCAAATTTAAAGTGTCGTATATATTGTTCATTCAATATTGTCTGAACCAGCTGTTAGGGGTTGATGGGGCATTCATATTCATTAATGGGCAAACATGTTTTACATTATTTCAAGCATCTTTTTAGACTTCCTGAAATGTTCGTATTCCTATAATATTCTGAATTATCCCAGCGCAAATCATAATATGACGTCATCAATCCCTATATGCACACCTCTCTTTCTTTGGTTCCTTGCAATCAATTTTTCTTAGGAAGTTGTTCAACTTTCTAATCCTCTTAAATGTATAAAAACTATATATTTGATATCCCTTTTTTGGTTAATCTTATTGCAAAGTACACTTCTTTAAACATTTAAAAGTTTCCATCCTTTTCCGGACTACTGAGGAAGACACTGTTCAGTTAGGGGTTTCTGTTCAAATTTTGAACCCAAATGTGCTCATTGAAAACATTTGCGAGAAAGGGTTGCTCATTGGTTTACTGCCACGCACTTACGCTAAAATGAATCCCCAAAGAAAAGAAAATTTATGACAGCAAAATATCCAAAATTCTAGCGACTTTTTTTGAGCTGAAATAGCTGTAACATTGACGTTTCTAAGCGATACGACATCACAGTTTTGCTCATGAATATGGAAATTTGCTTTTGCATAAAAACCAAGAAGGCACCAAAAATACCCTTCAAAATGGAAAAAAAAGATGCATTTCAAGGATTGCATTAAAAATACCTTGCATGGGCCCTTTAACAAAGTGTTCAGACAGACTAAACAGGAATGAACCTATATCGTCTTATGGAAGTGGCCAAAGAAAACATTTTAGAAATTACCCAAGAGAAGTGTTTCCGATGATAACCATTAATGCCCTGATGTCTTGCACGTCAAGAAATCGATGGGTGAATCATCGATGAATAAAACAAACTTACACAAACAGAACGAAAAAGAACAGTCAACAAAGATCAATAAACATGTCAACATAAATATGGGCAAACGGCACGAATCAAAACAACAAGGCGTGAGGCTCGCTAATTCACATAAATGCTGCAAACATTGACTAATTTTGAAGATTTAATTCCCAACCTCCCCAACATTCTATTAAATCTGCCAGGGAGAAGATTTTTGTAAAAACTGTGCCGCTCTCCTCCTTTGTTACACCATCGAAGCACCGTCAGACAAAAGTACTAAATTGTTTCAATACACGAGCGAATCGTAAATCAAAATGTGTGATATGCATTAACTATGCGCATGTAGAAGTATGGCACAAAACAGTCGTTTGATTGTAGAGCCATACCTTGTCGTCATCAAAATGGGCATGTAGCAGATGCTCCCGACGGCTTTTGTTTTCCTTCTGGCTTCCAGGAGAGCTTTTTACTTTTTTTACGGTTGAAACTCCCCTTATTTTATGTTGTAGATTGTTTGAAGCAATAAATAATGTTTCAAAATTGAGTCAAAGTTTGCCACATTAGATCTTAAAAATGTCACATGTTCACTACAAACCAATAGAGTGGCGTGTGTAGGCTATCCGTTGCTTACCGCTTTTCTCTTGGGCACCAGCCAAGGGAACGGTGGTTCATCGGTAACTGTTCTATGTTTGGACCAACAGCTGGACTGTTTGCGGTGGAATGCTACAGCTGTGCATCGACTACCTCAGCCGGTGACGCCAATTGCTTGGATCCGTTCAACGCGACTAGCCAACCAACCACCTCCTGCTCTGGCGAATGCACTGTGAGTATAACATATTTGAGCGTTCATACCCGGCACGTCTTACTATGATCCTTGGCAGTTCTTATTGCACGGAGTGGAAACCATACATTGATCAAGCCACGGCAGAAGGGCATATGTACATATGTCGTACTGCAATAACGCGTAATTACCAAAATGTTCCCAGCAAAAGGGCATATGCAGGAAAGTGCCTCTGTTTTAATGCAGCTTAAAGATTTTCGTCAGAAATTGACACGAGTTGTTCCAAAACGTATGATTGATACGTGTGAAAAATATCAAAATCGTACGATTTATAACACGCGTGGGAGAACATTGGATTCATAATATGCGCAGGGGAACATTATAACCTTTCAATGCAATTTTCTTGAAAATGATTTTAGCGTCAGAACGCGGTGATGTATGTTGCGGTGTTTTTTTCAATATTTTTTTGGATTGCTTAGAGATTATCTGTTCTCATGCGTGTTTAAGAGAGGATGAGAGGGGCTGGTCGGGGTTGCCAACCACCCCCTCGACGGATCAATTGCATAATAAAAAAAAATCAAAAATGCCCTGAAGTTTTCTGAATACTCATTTCGGTATTGCAAATTGATTATTTGCTTTAGCACTTTAATCTATTTATCTGCTGTCTGCAAAGCCTTATTCACCCAACACCCCTTGAAAATGGTTGAACTTTTTATGAGTGTCTTGAATTCCTGCTATCGTTGGTTTGCATCATTGGTGTGCTTGCAAGCTAGCGACATAATAATTAGGCCCTTTTTTGTTTGCATTTTACTATTCTTCTACGTTTTTTAATTGTTTATCAATGATTGATAACCTTACTTTTAATAGGAACTTAAATTTTTACTTTTCTTAAACGATCTTTGTTGTCTGTGTAGCCCTAATTGTTTTCTTTATTCCACAGAAAACCGTTGGTACGCAAGGTGACGTCACAGTCATTGCCCGCAGTTGCGCACCCGCATGCGCAGAGGGTTGTGCTAGTGCTGCCGGTGTGGAAGCCTGCATTTATTGCTGCACATCTGACAGGTGCAACGGCGCATCCTCAGTGACCTTTGGCCTCATTACCATCTGCGTCACCGTCCTCGCTGGTTGGATAACGTCTGCTTAGTATGTACTTCTAAGAATTAACCCCTCATACACAGTTTGCTGGACCCGCTATCGGGTTAAATACAGTAAAATTATTCCTCCAATTTAAGTTATGATCTGGAAGTAGAATTGGTTAGTTAGAACATTTGAGTGGCCTTCAGAGAGTTGCAAATGAGAAAAATTAAATAAAAGATGACTATAGGAGTTTTAAAATAAACTCAAAGTGTTTCCATCGGTAATCGGCTTGAATGGAACTTTGGGAGTTTGTGTACACTTCAATCGAACATGTTGCGTAATATATTGCTCCTGTGTTAATTGTTTCATCTAATTCAATGGACGACATCTTTCCCTGGGCCGGAGAACACCATTATAATATCGTTTTTCCCTCACTCGCTCTCTCTCTCTCCAGATAATTGTGGCGGAGCTTTCCGGACTGGCTGATACAGGGTAAACAGCGCCACCCGAGTAACTTCACTTTTTCACCATTGAAAGTTTAACCGTGAACCAATGCGGAAATCCGGCAGGAAATTGTTGAGTAAAAAAATCACAGAAATAGCCATTGAGTAGTCTTGCACTGCGGAAATGGAATACAAGCCTCCTCCACTTTAAGAACCTTCGCATTCTTTAAAAGGAAATTCAATTTTCAAATATATTTGCTCCAGCAAAATGCCTGATTGACTTTTAAATTTTGCAGTTGGCAATATTTTTTCATGATGCGCTTTCTATAGAGCTAGGCTTGCTGACAACCGGTGTTTTTTGACAAAGTCTTTATCGACTGCATGCTGTATCCCTTTCGCTTGATAGATAAACTAACATTGCCATGATTGCCGCTATTGAACATATGTAATTGTATAAGTGAAATATCCTTATGAAGGCTTGGTTATGCGCATGCGCGCTATTTCCGGGACCTTACGGGACCTGACCCTTGATTGTGAATCTTTGGTTACTGATGATGGGGTTGGAGAAAGAAAAAAAAAAAATGTAAAGTGAATATGAGTCTTGTGTACCTATCGTGACATTATTACGATACAATTTTGTAAAATTCTGCACCTTAAATATGCTTCAGCGGGAGCCCCCCCCCATTCCTCGCTTCTGGCTTTGCCCCAAGCAGCAAGTATCCAGGGTTTCTCATCCTGGGGTAGGGGGTGGGGAAGTGGGGGGGGGGGGCTGGATGTTACAGTGAGGGGCGGCCAATTTCATCCTGAAAGGTAGACAGGACACCTGGCCTCCGTAAACACGAATAGAGGGAGGTGGGGTTGGGGGGGGGGGGAACACCATATTCACATGGCCATGGGGACGTAGTTGAAAACTAACATCATGGTCAATGACAGACAATAAGTGGCGCTATTCAATTAACACGGGACAGGGGCGGTGGAAGGGGGGGGGGGCCCAAGGGGACCCTTGATTTTCCCAAGTGCCCCTCTTTTGTAGAAAAAAAGTGCCCCCAACATAAATGTGTCCCCTCGAGATGAAAACGAAAGTGGCCCTAAAATTTCCGATAATTTTAGTCACTTACCATTTCCCAAAATGTTTTAGAGAGTTCTGATATGAACAAGGAATATTAAAACCAAGCCCCAAACCCAAACATAATTCGTAGTTTGCATAATGGCCGGTTTTGAAGAGCCCGCCACCTTTTGGAAGAAGGCGGAGCAGAACAGTAAGCATCGATGATGTTATACAAAACAGTTCGTTTTAGGATTATCAATTCTTCCAAAAAGACATATTATCAAGTAACCAAGAAAAAAAGATTAAGAAAATAAAACAAATCAAAATTACCCTTAACCTCAAATCCATTACATTCCTATAAAAGTGACAATAAAGCACAGGTGAACGAAGTGAAAGGTGGCACTTTTCTTAGTATTGGACATCACTCAATGAATACTTTTCCGATTTGTTTTGTTTTTCTTTTTGAAAAGCTAATGAACTAGCTAAACTGAATTAAGATTTAGAGATGTATTTTTTTTTAAAGTAAGTGAAAAAGAGGAGAGCGTTTTGAGGGATGTTTTTTTCGGGGGGGGGGGCACCATGTCTAGTTTGCTCATTTTGTTCCTTCTCCCATGAAAGGGATTTAAATTGTCTCGCAGAAGGAAAGTGTCGTAAGTGTGTGTTGCTACTCCCACTGCACAGTAAAATACGATCTTCGCGTCTAAGCATTGTCAGCTGATGGTGTCACTTCCTACAAACTAGTCTTTCACAAGTCCTTTAGTCTCAAGTCAAGTCACTATAGCTCTTCAGATTAACTCTGTCAAAAACACTCCTTTGTCATAGTTACTTGAGACTGGACTTATAAAAGACTTCTGACTGTACTTGTGATGGGCTTGACTACAACATTGCTTGAACTTGCCATTCTTGCCACCCCCACACCCACCCGCTGGATACGCCACTGCATCCTAGGAGAAATTCAATGTCACAGGGGCCACTAGCTCCTGCTTCATTGAACCCGAGGTTCACCCCTGGTGGCGCGCATCCGGGAGCCTTGAATGGGAAAGATTAATTATGCAATTATTTTTGGTTCATTGATTTTTAAAGAAAAAAGTTCCTTTTTAAAAGCATATCATAAATCCCCTGATTGGAAAGAGAAATATGTCAAAAATTGACCGCTTGCACACTACTGCCACTGGCGGATGCACGCCCCTTCTACGTCAGTCTACGTAGATGAGAAGGTCTATAAAGGTTGTGGTCATTAGCTGAAAACTGAAGGCGAAATGGAAGATCAAGATGTCTTTTTAAGGTGTTGAAGTTGTGTGAATAAACTCAAATGATTTGTAAGTATAAAGAAAAACTCTAAAATTGACCGTTTACTGGACGGCCTCTATGATCTGCGCAAGCCAGCCCAAACTCTAGAACCCATCGAGACCTTTTACTCCTACACTCTATTTCTATCAGTGGCCATAGCGTTCCTACCCTTAGACTTCAAAAGAAACCTCGCTTCTGCTACTGACAAGGCCGCCGGCACCGTCAACAGGACAGCGCCCTCAATGTTGGAAAGTAATTATCGGCGGTTTGCTGTTGACGTTTTACTATGATTTCACCTGATGAACTGCAGATATCGTATTCGCCGTTACCTGTCAGGAATACATACGGAGTTTTTCACTCTTTTAAACAAGACTCCCAAATTTGCAGAGATAATTTCAATAAGTTTTTGTCCATTCTACATGGCATATTAAAGGGCATAACGACCTGAAATCCCTGAAAATTTCATGTTTTGGACTATACTTACACTACTTAACCCTAAAGGGGCCGGGGCGGGGGGCGGTATCGGCCCCCCCCCTCAACATTTTCCGTGATAGCCTCTAAACAATTTTTTTTCGCGACCCGAGCTTTTATGAATTTTTAGCCTCGAGCTTTGCGCATCTTTTGATACCCAAAACATAAAAATCAGACCACGGGTTGCCGCGTAGCGAAAAAGTTTCCGGCGCTACACGCCGTGAAAAATGAATTTTCGCATATACGTCGTGTAAACAGAGCAGAATTGCCATTCGTACATATGAATAATTAATTAGCCATAATTCCAAAACCCTTTGACCTATAGTCATGAAATTTCTTGGGTATGTTTAGGAAGAGTTGCTCTATGCATGTGCTGAGTTTCAAAAATTTTCGTAACTCGATGGCTGAGATCTTAGGGGGGGGGGGGCAGAATCCGCCCCCCCCCCGGCTGAGAGATAGTCAAAATAACACGGCCCCTTTAGGGTTAAAAGGTCTAGTTGAAAGGAAACAAACCTAATGTATTACCGTTCCCGAGTAAAGACGATAAAAAACTCGGTTGTTTACATCGGACATGACCGAGTACGTGTTCGTTTTTCCTGTCGTTTTCTTATCATGTACGATACACGTTGTGTGTGTCACATTAATTACACACAACACCAATGCTCAAATACGGTATCTTACACGTCCGCAGAAGGCAAAGTAAAAAATTACGGCTGGTATCACAACTAGCACTGAGCAGCCCGAATTCTTGGGGTCGCAAAAGTGGACCCCGAAATTCGTTCTCACACGAATAACACAAGAATAACATAAAACGCCCACTTTTTAAGTGTGGCTGTTTATATCCTTCATTTGAATGTTCTTGCAGATAAACATCATTGTGTTCAAAACGCGTCATTTTGTAGCCCAATTTAGCGTATTCCAGGCCGTAGAATTGTATTTTGAGCGTTTTGGAAATGAAAGGCTAATGTTCACATGGAAATCAAATGCAAATTTCAGAGGCGATTATTTTAGGAGAGAGAATGGAGTTTAATGATATTTCAATCTATTTCTCTCAATCTAACAGCAGCACTAGACAATCTGACTCGGGAAGTGGGTGGCAGTTACTGAAACGCCTTGCCCAGGATAGAGAGATGTAGAGGAATAGCTAACCAGACCTGCTATTAAAACAGAACACCAGATATGAACATGCCTCCCCAATAGCCGACTGATATGTTCCAGGGCAAAACAAGAAAAAGTGGCGGTTTTTTTATTTCAGGAACGAATACCCTGTTAGATGCAGCGTGTTTCATGAACTGTTCGGTGTTTACATGTTTGGCTAACCACTTGAACTGTAATACTCAGATTGCTTTACGCTCTCAACGCGGACGACTATAAGTACACACAGACTTTGTAAATAGTGATGGAAACCCCTTGTAAAAGTTCAGTAGTATTTTTATATGAGAGCAAGCTCTTATTTTGGCGATCTTGGTATAGTGTTTGCCTTTCCCAGCTGGTTATTTCAACAGAGGCTGAAAGAAGGTATGTCGTGGGGTTGCAGCCTAGTATACACAAACTGCCACAGACCCCAATGTTATAATAATTACGACCACCTGCCAAATTTGGGGAAAATACTCACAACTCTCCCAGGTGTTTGAGACACAACAATTTAAAGCTTATTTCATCGTCTTTTATTGTGGGTTCCAGTTTTTGGGTGATACCCAATGATTTGTGGGAGAACATTTCATCCACAGTTGATCACTCCTAAGAGTAATCCTGAAGCCCATCGCCATTTTGAAAAATGATGCCTGCGCTCCACTGCAAAATAGAGCAATTTTAGGGCCCAATGTCAATTTCACAGAAACACGAGCTCGCTGTCGACATGTCCTGTTCACGGCTTCCAATCTTCTTTTTACTAACTTCAATTTCATGGCCCACAAAATGCTCTAATAACAAAGGAATTGAGGGCATGCACATCGTGATTTGGCCGGCGTAGGCAATTTGGGGCCTATTATTTTACTAGCCTGCATCCATAATGCTAAAACATCTGTAAGAAGGTTGCTATAGCGCCCTCTTGTGCTCAGGTTATGCACCATAGAACGGAGAGCCGATGTACGCCCACTGTAAATTCGAGTACCATTTGGTGACACGGTGCAGCTCAGGTTTATGGTGGATCTCAAGCTGAAGTCAAACAGTGCTATGTTGACTTGCCATACAATCTTTATATTTAGACGACACACACACACACTCACCCATAATGGTCCAAGGAACATCAATTCAAAGGTGTCGTAAAACCAACTTTTGGGATCTGCCCCTTGCTCTGTTGCAGTGCTAACGAAGATCACAGTTCTGTGTGAGCGGTTTGAATATTGAAGTTTATATTGAAGCTTTCGAAATTGTTTTTGGGCTGGCTAGGCACTAGGTAAGGGATATTTTCATTTTTCCCCGGGAACTTTTCAAACTGATTTGGACAATGAAGGTAAACTTCCTTTAAAATAGTCATTTGTACATATCATTTGTCATTCTATTAACAGAAGCTAACTTTAGTTGTAAGCACGGAGGTGCAGCACCACTGTGCTTAAACTAAAGATAGCTTTAGCGGTGGGTGGAGGGGGGGGGGGGAGTGACTAGTACGCAAAGGGTTTAAAGTGATGCTAGTCGTTCTTATGTATCAAAAAGTTTACCTGCGACGTTCTAAGGGGAATTATGTTCCCGCTGACTGGAACAACGATGTAACCTTCCTCATAAGTAGATTCAAGTGCTCGTCAGAGAAAAACAACGCTATTATTGCAACTAAATGGGCATTTTGTATTTCTCACAGTCGTGAAACTTCCACGCAGACGATCAGTACTATTGAAAATTTATGATTTTAATTGATTTAATTTAAGTACTTCAAAGGATCAGGAGCATAGACGTTGTGGTACACGAAAGTTAAACATTTCCCAAAGGAAGCCGTCACTGCAATACGACATTGACGTCGCCATGATCAACACTGCACTCAAATTTGTCGGCTAGTTGAAATTAAAAAGGTCATTTTTCAATGATGTTTTTTCCACGCTAACCTGTTTTCATGGGTGTAACTACTTAGGAATATTTTCTTATCTAGTTTGCTTAACTCGTCGCGTTACCTTCTTGCATCTCTTTCATCTCCCCAGTTCAGTTTCTGGTGAAGATGAAGATTGCGACGGTTTCCTTTTTCTTGATTCTGGCTCTCATTGGTGAGTGAAAAGTTAATTATGACACGAAATCATTACTAGAAAGTCCTATCTTATAAAAAAAACACACAATTACAAAAGCCCAAGAACGGTTTTGTTTATGCGGCACATCCTGCCTTTTTTCGTTTAATCATAACGTTTTTGTATTTTGCCCCCGGACAAACCATTCGTTACTTTAGGTAGGGAGACCCAACAAATGGAAAAACTGCTCGATGATCGGGCAATCTAATTGATATTCATCTGCTCACGACAAAGACCAACGTGAATATTCTGATATTAATATTATTATTATTATTATCCTTAAATTTTTATTATTTCAATATTTCTGGTAATAACCAAGGGTTTCTTAAAAGCCCCGTAAATCGCAATCCTAAAGGAATCAGCGAACATTATGCTTCATGTTATAGGTAGGTAGAAACCCACATCACTATTCTAAGGAAACCCACGGAATCAGACAGAGGCTAAAACTCATTCACACATGGGGACTGGGTACGATTAGAAAGGTGGATCTGCACCTGAATGTTGCCTGTGCATTTCAGCCGATCTTATCTGTGTGTTGCTGAAGCCCATTTACCAGTTAAAACTGCATCACAACACTGACTTGTTCTGTTGGGGTGATGATACAGTAGTGAGCAAATGCCTGATGATCATTTTTTTCAAAACATTTCATGACAACCGAAGTCAGGGCAACAGGCCAGTAATCGTTGAACTGTTTCGGTTGCGGCTTCTTAGGACTGGAACAATGATGGCAGATTTCCAGCAAGCCGGTACTGTTTGGGTGTCCACAGCTTGTTGAAAGAGGGTGGAGAACAGCAGAGTTAGTTCCCGCGCACACACTTTCATTTATATTGTCGGATCCAGTTGCCTTGCGAGTGTTCAATCTTTTCAGCTGCTTCTCGACCTCCCTGGTGATGATGGTAACAGGCTGATCCTGTGCAGGATAATAGGGCAAAGAGTAGCTCCTCCACTTGATCCCTGCGGTCGTGGGTATCGAATCTGCAGGGGAAAAAAAATTGTTCAGTTCATTCGCAAGCACCCGGTGGTTGTCTGTACCCAGGAATGAATCAGCTTTCTTTCTGCTAGAGAAACCTGTTATATTTTGAAGACACCGCCAAGAATCTCTGATATTTTTGTTGCCACGGAAACAGTTGTGTAGTTTGTCTCTATATATTTTCTTTGAGCTTTTTATTTCTGTTGAAAGCTTGGATCGGACACACAATCAAAGAATCATTGGAAAGAGGACTCATTGCTATGTCACATGATCTTTAACTTATTTGAAAATATGTATTAGATATTTTATAATTGATATTTACATTTGGGTTTCCTTTTTTATACACCCTGTCAAGAGCTTGAAATACAACAGACTCGTGGCTGCAGAATAGCGCCCTCTAACAGGGGATATCTTTTATTTATCATCGTATTTCTTCATGAACTAACCCTTGGTTTAATAGAAGAAAGTTAAAGTCCTTTGCTATTCTTATTTTTTTTTCATTAGGAAAAACGGCATCTCTGAAATGCTATCGGTGCTCCTGGCAAACGTATGAAGGGAAGGAGTATGGACCTGTTGCTTGTAAGAGTCCCTTCAGTGCAAACAGCACACGAGTTACTGAAGAGATTTGTAGACAAAATTACCAGTGCCGTGTAAGTAAAGACCTTGGAAAGAAGCCTCAGTTTTATCCATTTTAACAGTTCCTGCCTATATAAGAATGGTCAATAGTTTTTTTAGTCGCGTAACATGGAGGGGAGGGGTGCGACGGGCTAAAAATTGGAAAAGAGACGAAGAATGTTTGTAGTGTTTGAATTGTGAAATCAGAGACTAAAGGGCGCTGTAACTGTGGGGAAAGATAATCCATTTTGTGCCTCTTTCCTCAATGTTTTTCCAACTGTAATGGAGAACTGCAAGAACTGCCAAACAAATTGCAGAATCGCTTAAATGTATCGACGCGTGCTGCCAAAGTGTTGATGACAGCCATATTGCCTACAAAAGCGCTCATACCTGTCAACAATGTTAATAATATTTTGCTATGTATGGTTAAATCCGCCGTACTTCTTACTGTGATTGGTTTTGTCAATTTAAGGTGAAAATAACGGTTATAAAATCGCCAGAAAACCAAAGTCCGTTATTGTTCTCGTGCCCCTGGAAAATAAAAAGAACATAAAAATTAAGTTTCCGATATATTTACTTTGGTAGGTCTAATTTACCACACAACATGTTATTTTCACAGCCCTTGAGTTAAGATTTACGTTTATAAACAAATGAACTAATGCCACTTGTGGATATTGCCTACTGCAGGTGTTACAAGTTTACATGTTGTCATTTCAGAAAGAAACTTCAGCTGTGTCTGGGAGTGACGTCATCACACGGGTCAGCCGAGGCTGCACGCCGACATGTGAGGAGAAATGTATGGATGGCACCTTCCTTGGATCCGCAGTGAAGATCTGCTCATCCTGCTGCTCTTCTGACCTGTGCAACCACGCAGGTCCAGTGACCCTTGACCTCGTCGCCATGACAGTTTTGGTGATCGCAACCATCGTAACAGTTTTCTAGTATCCAACCTGTTCACAATCACACAAAAACTCAAGATAAAAATATCATTTCTGATCAAGTTCAAAACCTTAATGTGGAGTTTTTTTTTCAAACGTTTGCCATTTGTGTTGTAGAAATTGCAGTTTTTCACGTCAGATTAAAGAAATTCAAAAGTTGAGTTGACTTAAAATGCATTAAATGCTTTTAAAACTATTGTTTAAAAAAATAATTCCAAAACTTGCTTAAACGTTTTGAAAATAGAGGAAACACACAAATTTAGAAAGGTTTCGTCTTCGCTATTTCTTTATTGTTTACTGGTCATATTTTAAAGGTACTGGCCACAATTTGTGTAGACAATGTACATAAATATTGTCCTTTGACGATCTTCCCAACCATTGTCATTCCATTGTAAACGCGTTATCGAGCCAAAATGGCGCATTTGTTCAAAAGCGTTCCTTTAACCGGAAAACAGTTCTCCCCCCAAAAAAAAGAAGAAGAAGAAAGAGAATGTAATGTAAAAAGACGAACTCAGGCAGAAAGAACATGAAAAGCTGAACACTGAACATTTACAATACAGTTTTGGCTGACTCAATCGCAAAGACTTTGGAGTCTAGTCAGTGCGTTTACTCATGTAGTAACTTCCTCGCCAAATAATTGTTTATTACTACACATTTGTTTGTCCGATTTAACAATATAATGTTGAATAAATACATAAACCCTTTCTGTAAATTATAAAGTAAGATTTTCTTTCCTAAGTTGGACCCCATTTGACATTAAGTGGCGATGTTCATCATAATAACAATCTTGTACGAATATTAGTTTATTGTATTATTCAAATTTCATGCCGCATTTCACCACCGGAAAGAAAATTTGCTGATCGGGTTATTCAAAATGGAATTTAAAAAAGGAGAAATTTCCTCGGCGAATTCATCGACTGTAATAAGCAAACGCATATGCGCGCGCGGTACATTGCTTGCGTTTTTTTTTTTTTTTAGTTTGAATTTCGTCTTCAGTTGCGGACATGTTCTCTTGTATTGACTCACGATATGTTTTTTTTTCACAACATCCAGTCTTTGTTTAGTACAAACATATGTGAGGATGCTCCAATGTCCCACCCGGTCAAAACAGGGGGTGTATATCCCCCTATTTCCCCCGGATTTACGTCCTTGTCCACGCTTATGCCGCTATAGGATTCAGACTGAATTCAAATGTCCACCTACTTCTCAATGTGTATGCTGGACTGAAAGGTATTGTGGAGTTGTACGTCAATTGACGAGCATGTGTCCACAGGGAAGTCGATTTAGAGGGGTTGGGTTGTTCATCTTCTGTTCTTTCTTGTTTCTGTCTGCAAAATATACATTTACCTCTCGACAAAAAGGTGTGTGTGACTTGTTTTTCTAATTGCAAAACAGCACTGATGCCCTCGAATCACCACAACTCCAAAAAGGCGGCAAGTAATTACTCATGATAAAAGAATTACATAGAAAACAGCACCATAAAAGAGATTTAAAATTGATTTAAAGTAAAAACATGTTCTTATAATATTTTCGTGTAAACACGTAAACGTGTCCAGACGGAAAATGTTAGAATAGAACATCAACATAATCATCGTCATTTCTCATTCAGTAGAGAGGGGGCGCGGGGGTGGGGTGGGGGTGGGGGTGGGGGCACACGGGAAAGGCAAAGACCATCAGGGGCGGGGGGGGGGGAGCGGGGGATTTCTACCTTTAGTTTTCATTTCAGGCAACATGTTTTATCTTTTGAACTGTCTCTGCGCAGACAACAAAGGTTGCCAACACATTATTCGAAATATTTTAACTCAATTCATTCAATATAAAATCGGAATCGTCTTTTGGAAAGTACTATCGCTGGTTTGAAACAGAATATGGGGTTATCTTATCACTCTTCATGGAAAATTACACCCCTCTCTTTTCAGTACCCAGCTGACAGCAACGATGTAATTTGGACAGCATTTTGTTTAGGCGAATGAGGGCGCTATAACGAATTGTACATTTGGCTGCAAAAACAAACGAAATTACCGTGTTATTGACGTACGTTTGCATGTTTCTAGAAATAAAAAAATACATGTATTATAAGACTATTTTAGATTTTCGACTTGAGTCGAGCTCTATGTGTTGCTTCGACGAACGTATCAACTTTGCATTTTTTTTGTACCCAGAAAGTGGTGTCTTTACAGTGCCCGTTCACTAACTAGACTGGTTCGATGTCCTTCCGTTATATGCACCCCGTATAAAAATTCTCAAAGGTTAAGACACCAGTGATAAATCCCCATACTCTCACGCAAATTCTTTTACAAATACTCAGAACCCTCACAGGTGTTCAGGCTCCACAGAAAAATGATGATCAACATGTCGTCTTTCCTTTTCTTTTCAATTTTTAGTGGGTTGACCATTGACTTTTTTATATATGTTTCCACCCCTAAAATGAATGATGCTTCCCAAACTGCAAAAGTAGCCAATTTGAAAAAGGATCCCTCCACAACATAGCCAAAAAGCGCCACTTTTTCACTCCATCTCATAGCTGCCATGAAAGACCCATCGATTTTGAAAGAGCCCAATTCCACATTACATTGACTTATTAAATTCTTGAGTTTCATGATACATTTCTGTCTGGGTCTGCTGTGCGCTTCATGCAATATCTTGCTATGTCTGGGTCTATTGTGAGCTTCATGCAATATCTTGCAATGTCTGGGTCTACTGTGTGCTATATGCAATATCTTGCTATGTCTGGGTCTACTGTGCGCTTCATGCAATATCTTGCTATGTCTGGGTCTACTGTGATCTATATGCAATATCTTGCTATGTCTGGGTCTACTGTGTGCTTATGCAATATCTTGCTATGTTTGGGTCTATTGTGAGCTTCATGCAATATCTTGCAATGTCTGGGTCTACTGTGAGCTATATGCAATATCTTGCTATGTCTGGGTCTACTGTGAGCTATATGCAATATCTTGCTATGTCTGGGTCTACTGTGTGCTTATGCAATATCTTGCTATGTCTGGGTCTACTGTGCGCTTCATGCAACGTCTTGCTATGTCTGTGTGCTTATGCAATATCTTGCTATGTCTGGGTCTACTGTGCACTTCATGCAATATCTTGCAATGTCTGGGTCTACTGTGTGCTTTATGCAATATCTTGCTATGTCTGGGTCTACTGTGTGCTATATGCAATATCTTGTTATGTCTGGGTCTACTGTGAGCTATATGCAATATCTTGCTATGTCTGGGTCTACTGTGTGCTTTATGCAATATCTTGCTTTGTCATACCTCTGTCTTTATACTGTATTTTCATTGGCCCAGGACGATCACCTGACCGGGCGATAAATATGCATGTCACACTCCCGTTGTATATCACATTGTGATATCACATGCACGTAGACTAGTCCCCGCCCCACAGTCCAAACCATTATGCGCGGACCGCGTTTAAACCAGACTATACTTGTACTCACTGGTACCCCGCAGTACTTTCACGTTCCACAATATAATGTATATCAGTGAGGGAGCAGTGCATTTGCAGACGATATTTACTTTAAATTGGCGGCCAGCGACGAGCGGCATTAAGATTATGTTTACGTTTTGACTGACTCTAGTAACGGTGCCTAGGCCTTCAGAACTTCGGAAATGCAGAGCTGACACAGTTAGTTTTTTCGTATACGATCCTTATCAGTGCTATATGCAATATCTTGCTATGTCTGGGTCTACTGTGCGCTTCATGCAATATCTTGCTATGTCTGGGTCTACTGTGATCTATATGCAATATCTTGCTATGTCTGGGTCTACTGTGTGCTTATGCAATATCTTGCTATGTTTGGGTCTATTGTGAGCTTCATGCAATATCTTGCAATGTCTGGGTCTACTGTGTGCTATATGCAATATCTTGCTATGTCTGGGTCTACTGTGAGCTATATGCAATATCTTGCTATGTCTGGGTCTACTGTGTGCTTATGCAATATCTTGCTATGTCTGGGTCTACTGTGCGCTTCATGCAACGTCTTGCTATGTCTGTGTGCTTATGCAATATCTTGCTATGTCTGGGTCTATTGTGAGCTTCATTCAATATCTTGCTATGTCTGGGTCTACTGTGAGCTATATGCAATATCTTGCTATGTCTGAATTTACCGTGTGCTTTATGCAATATCTTGCTATGTCTGGGTCTACTGTGTGCTATATGCAATATCTTGCAATGTCTGGGTCTACTGTGAGCTATATGCAATATCTTGCTATGTCTGAATCTACTGTGTGCTATATGCAATATATTGCTATGTCTGGGTCTGCTGTGCGCTTCATGCAATATCTTGCTATGTCTGGGTCTATTGTGAGCTTCATTCAATATCTTGCTATGTCTGGGTCTACTGTGAGCTATATGCAATATCTTGCTATGTCTGAATTTACCGTGTGCTTTATGCAATATCTTGCTATGTCTGGGTCTACTGTGTGCTATATGCAATATCTTGCTATGTCTGGGTCTACTGTGAGCTATATGCAATATCTTGCTATGTCTGGGTCTACTGTGCGCTTCATGCAATATCTTGCTGTGTCTGGGTCTATTGTGTACTTCGTGCAATAACTTATTCCTGGTGTGTGTGTGTCATCTTTTAATACACGATCTCTTGCCACAAGAGGGCGTTATCAAAATAAATCACTATCTCCCGCGGAACGCTATCACAACAATGTCTTGGGAATCTTGTAAAGATTTTCCCTGAAAACAAAATAATGGGGGTAACTAGGGCCAATAAAAAAAGTCTCCGGTTTCTGGTATGGAGCTTGTCCGAAAAGTGGTGCGGCGACGCGGCTTTTTTTTTTTTACCTGACGTTTTTGCTTCAAATGTCGACTGATGACTGCAAATGGTGCCCGACTAAACTTAGTGCAAATATATGGGAGACCAGATAGGCCACATAAAGCTTATTCTCGATCACAACCCCATCTAAAACACGTTAAAATTGTGCAGCGGCAGGATTCCAGTCAAACCAGTGAGTTTGGCGGTTTTGAGACATCATCTTTCATTGAAAAAAAAAACTTTTTCATTTTGCCGACGCGCCGTAGGCGACGCGCGCGCATACCAGAAACCGGAGACTTTTTTTTTGGCCTAGTGCGCCTGCGCTTTTGTGCAGGGAAATACGGTCAATTGTCGGTTGCATGCGTAGGTCTATACTTCACACAGTCATAAAGTTGCACAAAACCCCGGTAACATCTTCAATGCCACTTCCTGAAATTTTGGACTTTTAGTTTCGGAGCTGTCATTACAGAGAGAACAAGTGCACTCGCATGACATGACTGCTACAAGATTTCCAAGACATTGTTATGATAGCGCTTTGTGGGTTATACAGCGGTTTGTTTTGATAACGCCCTCTTTCGGTGGGTGATCGCGTATCCTTTAATAATTATGCAACGACGTCTTGACCCAACACTAAGGTGTCTGCAGTTCTTTTTATAAAGAAAGTGCCTTTGAGTATGAATTGCAAACAGTAAAAATATAAACAAACAAAATCGTCGTGCCTTCGTGGAAGGATGTACAGTTAGGATGGACAGTCAGTTTTCTTGCTTAACCAACTGACTTTAACATCAAAGTACGACGATAATGTACTGATGGCGGCAAGGGTCGAGTATGTTCTTCTTTTTCCATGGCGAAGACACCTTCTTTTAATGCTTGGAATTGTTTTTCTTTTGGCTACAAACTTTGTAATGAGAATAATGCCAATCATCACTCGCCTGTGGGCGGGAGGGCCGGTTGGTTTAAACCAAAATTAATGGTCTCTTTTAGGACCACTAAAGATCTACATGAGATTCATTGGCCGGAAAAGATCATTTCCAAGAAAACGTTAACACTAAAATGGCAAGGGAGTCCACTCATGACCTCTCCCCACACAATTGTAAATAGCTGGTGGAATGTCATGGGAGATTCCAAGAGCTCCTCCCCAAGGAAAATTGGAGCAAGAACCAGTGAAATTCCACAACAAACTAAAACTTGAAGGATGCATTCATAGGCATGTGTGCTCTAAACCCCGACTTCTCCAATCATTTTTCCACCCGAGCATTTTGAAAATTGTATACAAACATTAATTTCTCGAAAAATCTGCCTTTTTTGTCCGAGCTTGTGAATTTGAAATGCATAATTTTTTTTGTTCATTAATAATTACAAACATCACAATTCCAATCAACGTGTTGCAAGAGTTTAGGCCGAACACTAACAAAATTGAAAAAGTTATTTGGCAACCCAGAAACTTAACTTCGCTGAAAGAAAAATTATCTGTTTCTGTGTTCGGGAAAAACGCTTCGTTTCTGCAAGCTTCCTCACCCTTCTCTTTTCTAAATAGGCGATACCAGTACCTATAAATGAAACAAGCTTACATTCTTCGTTTATATATCATAAATTTTATTTAAATTTGAAGGTTATTGGTGTCAGATTGTTTGTATGTGGCTTGGATAGGAATTAGCTGTTGCTTGAGGTATTGTGATTCACATCATAATTCTGCATGTTCAACCATACATCTCATGTGAATGTTCCAAACACCGAATAAAACAATGTAGTTTTATGTTGGAAAGTGGTTCGCTACAAAATACCGACACATTATCAGTAAATACAGCATTTTCTGTGTTTATAACCGTTCTCGCTGATATTTAAGGTAGTCTTCACAAATATAAATTATACCGGTAACTTGTTTACAAAAACGTGAAACTAAGCATCTCTCTCATTGCAAAAATTTGAGAAGTAAAGTTTTAAAGAATGTTTGCTTCAGTCTATTGCTATGAGACAAAAATGAATAGCACAAGACGCGTACAGTCTTATTTTTTTATCGCTAGTTTGATTTTAACAATGACATTTCAAATTGGGTAAATCTGCATCAGGAAATCCCTTCTAGCTTGCCGTTTAAGCTATCAAGCCTCAAGTGTGCATATCATACCACGCTGATTGGAGTCATTCCTAGTGATTGCATTTGAATTAACATTAACCCTTGGCATTTTACCTTTTTAACTGGAGCAACACAGTTATAAATTAGTGACGAGTTTTAATCTGTGAAAATAATTACATGCACAGTGTCATAGGCTCTCATTGCAGGGAAACCAAAGCTGTGTTGATCTATCACTCTGCGAGTCTGTTCAGTTCTTATTAGTACGAACCAGCAAAGTATACGACAAAAATAAAGCCGAATCCTGATCAAATTTTCGTTTTTGCTGATTCACAAAAAAGCACATCAAACATGCGGTGAGTTTAATCGACTATTAGAAAACATCCACCAAAATACACAAACCAACGGACAAACTAACTAACCAACTAAAACCCCAAAGCAAATACAAAACAACAAAATAATTCCGAGTTGAAAACTTTTCGTAAAACCTGAAAACGAATATTTAACAACCAAGAACTATGTTTTTCCGCTGATTTATCGTGGTTGATTTATACTGATCACTTTTTTAACTTTTATAAATCATCATCTAAAACAGAGGAAAATCTAGTACAATTGCAATTAGACTTAAACCTGTCAGTACTTCCTAACGTAACTCGCGCATAGTTGCGCGTTTGATTTGGATATACACTCGGTTTGATTCGGACAGGTATTTGCAAATCAGGGCAAATCTGTATTCTTGAAATTGTAACTCTGCTCCTCATTTTAATCACTACAAGTGCTGAGTAAGTATAGTGCTTATGATGAAATAGCGTTATAAGCAGACGCTGGACGGGACAAAAGTTCTTGGTTGCATCTTTAATTCGAATTCCTTTATTAACCCTCGGCCCTCTAGAGCCAAAGTGCCGCGGCCAGTGCAGCAGCCAAAGCCAGCACACTCAACTTGATGAAACTCGCGCTATTGCAGTCGTCTTTGTCATCGCAGAAGCAGGTTCTGATATCGTTGCTGGTGTCACATTCCCCGTTCTTATCACCTGCAGCTTTCTTCATGGCAGCGTTGGCACATCCTGCTTTGAGTAGGATGTCATTCCTGAGTTGACGCTGAAAGTCAAAGAAACCGCAAGATACGGGAAGGAGGGAGAGGGAGGGGGAAGATAAAGGAGAAAATAACCTTTTGATTTCTACTTGGACCAATAAACACTATCAATCACAAAAACCGACTCAGCATGTTTGCTCAAGTTTTGGGAGAAGTTTGCGTAAGATGCGTCATATTTCATACTTTTATTTAATTTGGTGCTGAGATCCAAAATACATTTTTTTCTCTGACCTCGTACAACGCGTGTAGTATACTTAAGTGTTGAATTGGTTAAACCTCATGGGTACTATTTGCCGTGGGTAGGGGAATGAATGGAATTGTTTGGGTTTCTTTTGATTTAAATGTGTGGAAAGCATTAACAAATAAAAAATGTTCACGACGTCAATCACGTTCTCATATGGGAATCCAATACCGCATCGTTGAGGCATAATATTTTTTTCTTATTTCGGGGTACTTTCTGTCATTTTTAAATTGTTTATAGTTTTCATTGCAGCCCGGTCTTTATACGATTAGAGAGCCAGTTCATAAACAAAATGCGGGCTATAAACTGTTTTGTAGATAATATATTTTTGCTAGTCCCAGAGGTCCATCCTGGTGTCATCTTTGTACTAGTATTATAATCTTAATGACTGACAGACTGACTTTGGCCAAAAAAAAAAAAAATGGTGTGTTTACGGTAACGGCCTTAAAAAATCCAGGTAGGTAGGTAGGGAAATAATTTTATTTTGTAATTTTTTTTTCATTTCAGTTCTGCATGCCCATGCGTGTTCTTTCGCAAAAAATTGTATAAAACCACTATTCAAGCATTGAAGATATTCAATCGATACATTTCAGTCCAAATTAATTTGTATCGTCGGCCAGGGATTTTTTCAAACATGTGGGGGAAGATTTGCTGCCTGTGAGTCAACAACCGGAAAATGTTTGAACTTTAGAAGCCCTCTGGTGCATTTTAGAGCAAATCTGGGGGTCTTTATCTTAAGATTTGTCCTTGAAATTCAGAGGAGATCTTGTCTAATATTTTTGTAATTAAAGAAAAAAAATCAAAATTGTTAACTTAAAAAAAATTAACATTTCCTAACCTGTGTTTCATTGCTTCTTAACTAGAAAAGTATGAATTACATTTTACATGTAAGTTTCAAATTAAGAAATTAAGGTGGAGAAAAAAACAACTTTTGCTTCCGATTACATGCCTTTCAAAATAGCGTCAGTAGGTCGGAAAAATATTTCGCCAATTTTTTTGGGGTGCTGATTAATGGAGCATCATTCGTACTAATCATAGAGCAAGGAATCATGTTTATTTTGTGCCTGGATTATTTTCATTTGCGCCACGAAAATTATCAAGACTGGCTATCAAAAGTGATTAAAACTTGCCTCACCTAATTAAAAATATATTTGAGGTCGGTGATTCCACTTATAATATACATCACGGCCGCTGGCACCGCCAACATTCCGTCTGGCTGGCCGAACATTGCACCGTGCTCACAGCCCACGTGGCCGAAAATCTTGCACTACTGCAGAAACACGCTACGATGTTTCGCCACAAGTTCGAGCTTTGCAATCTCGTCATTTTAATGGAAAACACATACACAGAAAGTAAAGATCACGTTCTGTGAATTAATTCGCAGAAATTCTCTTTCTCCAGCGATGTTTGTTTGGTAATATTTTTACGATCCAACTTCGGCCCACTACATCATCGGAGAGAGGCAGTAGTCACTGGTTCCGGTCCTTCATCATATCATTGATTCCGTTAGCTGGCGAAGGGAACCAGTGTACCATGCTGTATGTTAGCTGGGTGCTGCTGGTGGTCGACGGAACACGTCACCGTGTGCATTTTGATCACACATGCATCGGAAAAACAGGATTTTGGTCAAGATTTTGCATGTCAAGATGAAATAATGGCGTATGTAACGATCAAATTGTGCATTTTAATGGCGTGTATAATAATTATATTGTGCGTATCAGGGGCTAAAAAATGTGATCGGCATTTTTTTGTCGGCGTATCGGGGCCGGCCGCAATTCCAGCATATCGGGCCGATACGCACGTTTGTACGTGGGAAAAACCATGCCGTCCGTCGGCCAGCCAGGCGTACCCCGATGCGTTTGTGCAAAAATAATCGTACTTCGTAGTTTGAGAATTCAAGTTTTGAGATCGTCGCGATTTTCGCACGTTTAACACAGGTATGTTTGTGTCAAATCATGGTCAGATTCAAGTGTGGAAAATGGTTTTTGTTCGTGGCAAATAATTAAAAGTACTTGAAATGTTTAAATTTGTCAATTATCAACCTTCAAAATGGCAATAAAAAGTTTGAGGTCGGCAATTTTGCCGAAAAAATTCCAGGTCGGTCGGGTTACCGTAAACACACAATTTTTTTTTTGTTAGGCCTTTTTATTTAATATTATTTTTTTTGCTATTTAAAAATACTATAAAACAACAACAGAAAATACAGTAGAAACACTGCTTGCTTGGAAGGGACATAGATGAATCAGAAAAGACAAAATAACAGGACAAACCTAAGCCCGCATGGGCAAGAGATGGCAAAAGCGAAACCACCAAAAATCACTATAGTCCTTAGACTTGCCAGCTCTCTCGTAGGACTGACCGACTGACTGACTCACCGACTGAGTGGTGCTTAGACTGGACCAAATGATTTGCGAATGGTTAAATCAGACCCATTGTGAAGACCATTATCTAGCCATTCGAAATTAATTAAATACAATTGTGTGCACTCTGGGACCATTTTTACTATAGGCTTGCCTAGTGTCGTAAGTTGTACTTACATAACATCCCACATTGTTCGGGGTAGCACAGTTCTCCTTAGTCGCCCAATCCAACTTCGAACAAGCAACTCCATCGACACACGTCTGACATGTCGAAGGGACTGCTGCACTGTATTCTGCACATTAAAGTACAATTAAATAAAAAAGAAAGTGTTTGGGAGACAAGGTTAAAAAAATACAATTGATGGAAGGCGTATTGCAAACGCAATGTTTAGGTTTTAAACACGTTTAAAACATTCTTACAGTTAAATCATTTAGGAAGGTGTTTAAATGCTGAACGCTTATCCCTTTTAACGGCATGAAACTGAACGTGCTTAACTTTTCGAAACATTGTTTATATATCAGCGGTAAACGCATTTAGGAATGTTTTAATGCTAAACGCGTACAACTCTCAAAAAGATATGTAAACAATAATTAGGTAAAAATTGTTATGTAAAATAATGCACAATTTCGGTAAAATTCGCCGGAAAAAAGTACCTCGAAAACATGTTAATTGTAAAATACATATTGAATAAGTAAAGCAGTCAGTTTACCTTAATCATGTAAAAACGTACTGCAATTAGGTGAAACGTACTAAAACAAGGTAAAAACGTACACGCGGTGACGCGATGCAGCTAGCATAGCACAGCATATCAGTGAAGATGGAGTTCACCGTGAAGTCTGTAAACGTGTAGTCTGAATATAAAGCTAAACCACGACAAGTTCATAGTAGGTTAGGCCTATCGTTGCATTTGTAAATTTCATATAAAGTAGGCCTATTTTAAATAAGTTAAATCTCATGAAAGTCGGGTTCCCAATTCTGTAAATGATTCTGTAAATATGCAGTTACTTTCTGGAAACCTATAATTGCTGAAGTCAACATTTAAACATCTCAATCCAAAATCTTAACATGTCATGGGATAAACATGTGAACAAGTGGGTACAAGTATACTTGAAAGAAATAAAATTCTGGAAGGTCGGCATACGTTGAAAAGACGGTTGTCTCCAATTTTCTGTCCCGAAATGCTATTGAATGGGCTGACCGGCTTGAACTTCCCATACATGCAGTGCAAATATCGGAAAATAATACAATAAATATCGTAGTATATGGAATATACCAGCTTTTAGTAACAACTCCTCAATTCAAATACACCAAACCAACCGATCAATCGACGGAACGATAAACCGATCGAATAACAAAATGAAAGGCCAACCGACATACAGAATACCAACGAACCGACATACGGACAAACAATCCAAAATATCAAAGTAATCCAATAACACCAACTAACCAACTCATTGATACACTTGGCATCTGACCATCAGATCGACTGACGACCAATTGACCGCCAGACCAACCAACAATCCATTCAAATCCTCTTTTCGTTAAAAATAGCATTCATAAATACCTAAGACATTTTACCCATTCCTATTGGTCGAGAGCTCGTCACCGGATATGGCGTTTTTAAACCACCATTAAAACACCGGTCAGCGTTGAACCATTAAACACCTGTCCTTGATTGTACCTTATTCTGTTTACTCACTGAAGAATCAATAAAGACATAGAGTTTCGGGCGCTACATGCACCTAGATGTTATTTTTTTCAATGGACTTGTGCACCACTTAGTTCAGAGAACGCGCATGCGCACTGGGCGATTCCATGTTTCAAAACCCATTACGTATTGCACCATTCGGTACCGGATGATCAGCAGAAAAAGACTTATTTTAGGAATCGATTTTAGACTTCCATTTATTATTTCGGGCTCATTTTTCTAGTATCATAATGTTAGTCAGCGGCTGAACTGGGGGGGGGGGGGGGGGGGGTGTAGCAACCTCAAACCCCGCTCCAAGATATAGATCCACTATTGTTACTTGGGCAAGGAACTTACGGAGAAGGGCGACAACCAAAACAAGGCACAGGATCTTCATGGTGGATGTTGTTGCAGAGGTTGGGTCGCACGGCAATTACAGAGACAGAGAGCGAAATAGAATTGCCTGTAAGGAAACAAACAAGATCACATTCGGTTTCGACCATTTCTCCGTAAAGGATACACGGGCTCGACTTGGAGATCAAAATGAACTCCAATAAGAGCCGGTCTGAAAGCTAATTTATTTTTTAAAAATGTCATTGTGATTTTTTTAATAAGTAATGCAGTCGTGTACTGTTCGCCAGGTGACATAGCTCGCCTACAGTGACGCTTTGCCACGTGACCTGGTAACTTATTGCCATGATTAATAGATATGTGTCCAACCAAGCTGAGATTGGTTGGACACATATCGACCCATCCTACCAATATATTGGATATTTCAACTAATTTGTTTTTAGGGTGTGTATGTAATGACAGGTGACAGGGTGCTTTTAAACGTGGGTGTTTACGTAATCACAATTGAGAAAAATCCTTTCAAATTGTCTGAAGCAATAATACTTCAAGATTGTCCGGCATAAACCATATTGAACGCAAGAGCAGTACACCGTAGCTTCTGTTCACTGGAAGTTTTAAAGCATATAACAGCTTAGGTACAGAAAGGGTTGTTAACAAAGCGTATAATCCTCATTTAAAAAGGGAAATAAATAATTTCTTTTTAAATGCGAGTGGCAGTGAGCATATTTATACCAAACAGGTTACACAAAAAAAGGACAAAACGGATTAGAACTCAAGAATAATCGCATCTTACCTTAGAAAATGGAAATAAATATGTGAACACAAATGGCGCTTTTTTTTCTCAGTGCGGAGATTAAACACTGACGGTTTTCTCTCTGATGACATCAAAAACAACATTTTATAGAAGAATAAACATCCAAAGGAATCAATTTGTGTTTCAATCGTAAAATTCTAGTGTCATTTCTTTTCCGATCGACAGTCTAGAAACAATAATATCAGGCCCTAACCATTGCATCTTACCTGATTTGTTTCTTGCAAGGCGGCTACACACACTGCTACAGGATTACCGAGACAACAGTTTATATACCTGCTGACGTGGTGGCTACACCCAATACCTGATTGGTCGAGAATATTCTGCATCGAGTCATGTGACTGACGTCATGGAAAGCGCGGCGTTATAATTTATGAGTCATTTATTCGAGCGTTATTCTTTGTTTCTCCTAACTCTTTGTATCTCTGTAAATGTTTAACTATTCTGTACGATCAGCAACTCGACCAGACCAGCAATTTTAGTGCGAATTTCATATCTGTTTCGAGTCCTGGGTCGCCTGTCCGTGTCCACGAGCGACGTGACCACGTGAACTTTTCAACTGCATAGGTTTAATTTTAACCACTGTATTAATTAACTAGTAGTTAGAGTTTGATAAAATTAGTTAGAGTTTTCTGGGGCAGGGTTACGCCACTCATTGTTGAACTTTCCACCTTGAACATCTGTGGGGGGTATATCGTGATCATTGTCACTGTACTTTTCTTTCCACCGCGTTGATACAAAAAAATCGACAACGACGAGACACCGAACGGGAAAAAACCCAGCTTAGTTACTGACTGAGTAATTATTTCACGAATTCCGATTTATTTACAGCCCGACCATAATTCAGTTGTCGCAGAATGGATAATGCAGAGACTGGGTTGGGAATCAGTCTACTCGTAGGGCAGATATGTTTGTGCATAAAAACAAACTATGACTATGCAGACCACTGAACCCTTTGGTGTAATGGTGGGTGGTGGTGATGCAAATAAAAGAACATAGCGTCTTGCCCAAAAACAAAGGCCAAACTAAACTAGGCTTCCACCTTCAGCCATACATGTACAGGAACTCAGAAAATAAGGAACTAAAATGCACACTACCATCCACCACCATGCCCCAGTCGCAAGTCCACGCCCTACTGGGCTTTCAAAGGGGTTTTATAGTGCTGGGTAAAAATATGCATAAGAATTTCAAGATTAGGCATACTATAAGGCCCCCCAAAAAAGTCTCCGGTTTCTGATATGCGCGCGCGTCGCCGTAGCCATGCGCGTCGGCAAAATGAAAAAGTTTTTTTTTCAATAAAAGATGACGTCTCAAAACCGCCAAACTCACTGGTTTGACTGGAATCCTGCTGCTGCACAATTTTAACGTGTTTTTTGATGGGGTTATGATCGAGAATAAGCTTTATGTGGCCTTTCTGGACTCCCATATATTTACACTAAGTTTAGACGGGCACCATTTGCAGTCATCAGCCGACGTTTGAAGCAAAAAAAAACAGGTAAAAAAGAAAAGAAAAGCCGCGTCGCCGCACCAGTTACTGACTGAGTAATTATTTCACGAATTCCGATTTATTTACAGCCCGACCATTATTCTGTTGTCGCAGAATGGATAATGCAGAGACTGGGTCGGGAATCAGTCTACTCGTAGGGCAGATATGTTTGTGCATAAAAACAAACCCTAACAATAGTATCCCTTTTTTCTGAAAAAAAAAGAAACAAAAAATCGTTAAGATGAAACATATAAATCGAAAGTTCGCTAAAAGGGTTTTGCAGCGCGATGTGTCGTCGTTAGAACACCATATCAGAAAAAAAGTACATTGGTCGGGCAGTAGGAGTGTGCTGCAGCTGGTGACACGGGAATAATTCACCGCTCCTATACCACGAGAAGGATGCAGTTTGTTATGAAGCCCGGGAAGGGACAGCGTGGAATTTTTTTTTGGAGTTTGCTAATTCGTTCGCACGAATTACTAATTCGTTCGCACGAATTACTAATTCGTGGGAACGAATTACTTATTCGTGGGAACGAATTAGTATTTCGTGGGAACGAATTACTAATTCGTGCGAACGAATTACTAATTCGTTCCCACGAATTACTAATTCGTGGGAGCGAATTAGCAAACTCCAGTAATTCTTTAGCACGAATTACCAATTCGTTCGCACGAATAACTCCAGTAATTCGTTCGCACGAATTACTAATTCGTTCCCACGAATTAGTAATTCGTGCGAACGAATTAGGAATTCGTGCGAACGAAATAGGAATTCGTGCGAACGAAATAGCAATTCGTGCGAACGAATTACTAATTCGTGCGAACGAATTAGGAATTCGTGCGAACGAATTAGCAATTCGTGCGAACGAATTAGCAATTCGTGCGAACGAATTAGTAATTCGTGCGAACGAATTAGTAATTCGTGCGAACGAATTAGGAAATTCCAAAAAAAAAAAATCCACCCTGTCCCTTCCCGGGCTTCATAGTTTGTCAATGTGTGACAGAGCAGTTTTCGACTTTGGCCGCACCAGAACACAGGCCTATATCAATGGAGAAACAGTTGGTATCACCACGGAGATATGAACGGAATGAGTCAGAACTCTCGGGCGATTTACATTACGACCATCAACATCCCCATCCCTCGCAAATGTCCATAGCTAGCTACAGCACACCGTGACCGCAAGCCTCGACCATTCAAAGCGTGAATGCAAGCGGCCTCTAACACGATAATCATATCGCCGCCTTTTATTGGTAACCAACAATCTCCGTATATGCTTCATGATAAGTCATGTCACGTTGCTGATTTTTCAAAAATATATTTTACGGCAAGACAGATTTTAATAAAAGCACAGTTGTTAGATGTGAGTTATGAATTCAAGTTACATGCAGTTGTTGGTCCTTGTTGGATTTTTTTCCGATAGGTTATCATTTCTTTTCGGAAGTGTTAATTGGCAATACATTTATGAAATGTGATATTTTGGGAAATTTCATAATTTTTCAAACTGAAGGTATAGAGCATTTTGTTCGTCATGAAATGATTGTTTCAGTGATGTTGACCACATTGTAAGCCAGTATACCGAGTTGAATGGCCCCAAGATTACCCCATGTCATAGCTCACCCCTTGTGACTTTTTCTTGTGGGGTCACTTGAAAGACAAGGTTTTCACCACGCCCCAGCTAACATTCAGGAATTAAGAACCATAAGTGGATGAGGTGAATCAGGGTCAAGACCAAGGAATGGTAAGACGTGATGTCAGGGACATGAGAATCGATAGTATGAGATGTGCATTTATTTGCTGATCATGTTGCTGGCACAGGACTAAACATTTATCCTGTAACTACCACAAAAAGGAATTAAAAGATTGAGTGATCAGAAAGATTGTCTCATTGCATTCCTGATCCTTCGAAGTAGCACCTCTCATTTGTCCATGTCACCACTTTTCTAGTGTGTACTAACTTGTCAAAGTGCTTATTTTGACCTCTTTCGTACAGGCCATGTTGAGCAGTGATCCATGACGATGACGTAATGAAATTGATACCATGGGATAGAGGACATCCTGGATTTTATCCTTGTTGTTGCAACTTTCTTAAATATTCAGAACATTTCTCAGAAATTGTAATTTTTTAGAGACCCTGTACATTTATCACCCCGACGCAAAATGTCACCCAATCTACGTATGACCCACGACCCAATTTTGTAGTTAGGCTTCGTGCATATGGCAATACCAATACTAAAGACAATTCCTAGGCATTATTATGTAACAAATAAAATACTCCATTGCCATACGAATATAGCATGATGATTAAAATCAAGAAAATGTGTTCTTAAAATGCTCTCCATGTTCTTCAATACATTTGTTAATTTTTATATTAAATTAATTTTCACTGGTCGTTAAGGATACATAAATCAAGGATCTTTTTAAGATCATATATTTACAAATTAAAGGCCTTTAGGAAATACCTTTTTATTTTTACAATGGACATTTGTACCAAAGAATAAGTGAATGCAGTTCGTATGGGTCATAAGCGTGTATACGTGTACGCGCATAATATTCATCCGCTCTTTGCGCAGTAACAGATGCGACGCTGTTTATCCAAAAAAGGGCTTCTGTAGAAGAAAGCTCTCTATGAACTTGTTTGCCTGCTCAGGCAATCGTGTCACTGTACTTTACTTCGATGTTTTAGCACGGCAGAAGTTATGAAGTTCTCTACAAACACTCGTTCAATAATATCTTAACTATGCGTGACATATTACTATAGGTTATCAGTCTGTATTATTGTAACGGCGACCCAAAGAGGCCAACCGTCAGTTGGGGGGGGGGGGGGATTAAGTAAGTAATCAAAAATACATGGATGTTGATCACAAAATAACCGACAACGGGACAAGTATATGCAATATCAGTAAATAGAAATAATGAAAATTTAATTAGCGCTTCTTTGCTTACAAAACAATTAACCAGAGCATGTAAATATGAATGAATTTAAATGACTAGTTACTGACAGAGCAGAGTTCAGATTGGCACCACTACGATGCAACACCGTAGTCTACAACTAGGCCATGTAAAAACTACTGGGTGCAAGGGGGGTAATATTGGAACATACTCACAAGACTATTCGGACCACTGAACCCTTTGGTGTAATAATGGTGGTGGTGATGCAAATTAAAGAACACAGCGTCTTGCACAAAAACAAAGGCCAAACTAAACTAGGCTTCCACCTTCAGCCATACATGTACAGGAACTCAGAAAATAAGGAACTAAAATGCACACTACCATCCACCACCATGCCCCAGTCGCAAGTCCACGCCCTACTGGGCTTTCAAAGGGGTTTTATAGTGCTGGGTAAAAATATGCATAAGAATTTCAAGATTAGGCATACTAAGGCCAAAAGTCTCCGGTTTCTGGTATGCGCGCGCGTCGCCGTAGCCATGCGCGTCGGCAAAATGAAAAAGTTTTTTTTTCAATAAAAGATGACGTCTCAAAACCGCCAAACTCACTGGTTTGACTGGAATCCTGCTGCTGCACAATTTTAACGTGTTTTTTTTTTAGATGGGGTTATGATCGGGAATAAGCTTTATGTGGCCTCTCTGGAATCCCATATATTTACACTAAGTTTAGTCGGGCACCATTTGCAGTCATCAGCCGACGTTTGAAGCAAAAACAGATAAAAAAAAAAAAAGCCGCGTCGCCGCACCACTTTTTGGGCAAGCTCCATACCAGAAACCGGAGACTTTTTTTGGCCTTATGCAGTGTGTCTTTCGTACTGGGAGATATTTGCATAAACACTAAGTACAGACGTATGGGGGCAAGGAACTTATATTCCAGTATTGTGAGAGTAAACAATAAAGACTACCACGAGAGCTCCATCTGTGGTTTGACTGCAACCCAAATACTATTCTATTGTGTTTAAAGTAGGTTAAGACTTAAGTTGAACAAAGTAAGCTCTGAAATAGTTTTGTGGCATTAATCTGACCTGAGAACAGATGTAATACATGACTGCTATGGATTACTGTGGCCAAAGCGCTCTCTATATAGTTTAAAGGTGCAATTGGGACCATAATAAAAGCAAAGTTTGTTACATTATCACCAGTTTGCGTAAATTGTAAGTTTATAACAGATTGTAAACAACGTCATCACTAATTACCGTATGTGCCTTATATATGTTCTCTGCGGATAGGCCTATACAAAATGTACGTGTACGCCACTGACCATCCCGGCAGGAATAAGATGCACACGATTGGCGTCCGTAATTGAATAGCTAGGCCTATAGTCATAAGATGAAGTTGCATCGAGGTGATGTTAATTCAATATTGGGTTTTGCCCCCACCGACATACTTTCATAAAAAACTGTATTCTTAGTGTTGTCTTAGAATTCTTAGTATTCTTGGAAAAAAATCACAAATTATCTGTTTTGCAAGTTTCCACAAAATCCCTCTCGAAGGATCGAAACCTCGGGATTTGACGACCGCTTTTACAATCTTTATGTTTTAGGTCATTCCAGTCGGTATGGGGTAGGGGAGTGCAGGAAGGGGTTTGCCAAGCGGTAAGGGCTTGTAACTCATTATCACAGGGCCGCCGAGTCTAGCCATTATAAAAGAGACAATTTTAAGATAAACTGTTTCTAATTCCATAAGTAACTGGCAACACGACGAGACTTGGTCATTCCAAAAATCGTTGGCAAAATTTCAAATGACTCATATTTCGTAATAGATCCAACCTCAACTTTAATTTTAACACTAAAGACCTGTTATTAATTTCAGTTCCCACACTACATGCAAATACATACAACGCCATTTTTTTTGTTACCGTTGTTAATATTAACTTCTTTTGACTCCCTAGTGTTAGGGTTGTCAAAGCAATTTAAAGTTTACAATCATTATCATCTATAAATATACATTCGGTTGCCAACATGCATGGCATTTTAACATGAATGTAAATGTGTAGTTATACATGTATATCTTCCTTGATGCGATGTTGCCAATGTGCAGAAGTTCGTTCCGATAATTAGAAAATGCCACTTCGATTATGTGTTGTAAACGTGGGTCTCGAAGTAGGCTCGAAGGAGACTTTTCCTTTACGAGATTCAAAATTATGTTTGCCCATGATATTTATTCACGACAATTAGGGCCTACTCCACTATGATTTAAAACAAAATTGCAAAACAAAAACATCTCGAGTTTACTGAAAAAAGGGAAATTGCAAAGTGATTTGAATTTGTTAAAGAAACAATTAAAGTATGATAGAATAGATCGACTCGTGGTGGCCTGTGGTCTGGAATTTCGTATAATCAATGGGAAACACAACTTGAACAAAGTGAATCAATATTGATGCCATTTCTGTACGTTAAGAGTGACATACAGGAATATACCATTCCCTCTAACAGGACAATCGTTCTATTTTGAGTATTTTTCCCCACACGGTTTGTGTCACTATGGGTATTAATGTTGACGACAGGATTTAAAGATAATATAAAAGTAATTCAGGTATCATGAAGCCGATTGAAAAATGCGAATCTGAGCCAGAAGAAAATAATCAAAATAATTAAGAGAACAGATTCTTAGTTTTTTCCTAAATTGAAATGGAAACTCATTCTTTTTTTAAAACCATAAATCATATGACTAAGAATACTGGTTACAATCACGAATTCCTATTTTTCATTTAATTCTTTAAAAGTACGTGTGCTTCTAATTTGTTTTAAACATAAATGGTTGTATTTTATTCGGGTACCAATTTTTCATAGTTGTGTATACCTATGCAGGCTTATTTGGCTTTCAGTTTATTGTCATGTTTTCGTTCTTAATACTTATCATGTTGGTTTAATTGTTTTACACGTTGGTAGATCCTGCAGAGTCTAGTTGTTTACAGCTTTGAAAACCTAAATCAATAATTTTAACGAGTGGAACAGGGAAAAAATAGTAATTAAATATTTCCAGAATGTACACAAGCCAAAGGGTCGACGAGTTGGGACCAAAGTTCAACTTACGGTTGGCTAGTTGCCATGACAACCAGAAGAGGCGCTCTACTGCCATCTATCATCAGCTTCGCAGGGGATCCAACAAGGGGAATGCTCGTCGCCAGGCAACGCCGTTAGAACTATAGCTCTTTATTAATATCTAATGGTTTATAAGTAATTTAAAAATAAATGATTGACTATTAATTGAATAGGAAACCGAAATGTGTGTGGACGCATTCTTTGCCCTGTCTTACCCACGTGTGCCTCCGACTGTCAAGTAGTCATCGTGCTTTTATGATGTCATGACGTTATCCCTCTTTAATAAGAGGAACTTATAGTTAAGATAAGGCCAAAAAAAAAATATTCGGTCTCTGGTCAGACCAAAGTTCCGGAATTGACGCGGCCACGCGGCTTTTTTTTTGCTTTTTTTTTTTTTTCAAGCTTGGATTGTACAGACAAGGTGGGGTACTATTTTACTTTTTTGGTGTCCTCATGTACATTAGTGTCCTCCATAATTTGCCTTGGTGCTTTCGATCATTTGCCTTGGTGCAATTTCCCATTCCTTGGTGCTCTTTGGTAAAAGAAATTGAGGAGGTGCAAAAATAGAGGGCGCTGTTGGAGCTACCGCGGAACAGAAGTGAAATGTATTTGTATTTATTTGTCCACGAACCTTCTTTTTTTACCTTTATTTGTGGCTAATGGAAAAAAATACCGGTCTTTTATTTTGTTCACGACGACTGATGTTTGAATGCCAAAGTAAGAATAAGCGCCGAAACTTGCATCCGTGAAAGAGACAACCAGCGAAGAGCAGTACAAAAAAACATCAAAGAAGTTAAATAAAACACTCATTTTCAAGACTACAGTTTCTTCCAAAACGATATGACCATTGCTGCAAAAAGATTATAAAAAAAACCCCACCACAATAAAAAAAAACACCCATTGCCGAGAAAGAAAGACTGTCAAAAAGCAAAACTATAACCTTACCCTTGGCCCTAATCCATATCAATCATAATAAAATTCAATCAAGACTTTTTTTTTTCCTTTTCGGAAAGATGTGTTCTTATAGTTTTAAAATTAGTGTAACATGTGTTTTGAGGGGTTCTTTTTTTGTCGAGTCAGGGTACACCCCTGTCAATGGACAAAAACTCCGTCCGCTGAGCTCAAGAGTAAAAGTTATATACACTCTAATTATTCTCTATATTTGAGAGTTCTGAGAGCCATGCAATGGGGGAATAGAAGACATTCGGAACTTCACCTTTGGCCTGGACTTGGGGCTTCCATTTCTGAACATTTTGGATGCAATTGGGTCCGAAGGTGGCGCTATTTGCCATGTTGTGGAGGGATCCTTTTCAAAACGGCTACTCTTCCAGTTAAGCAAAAATCAGTCGTTTTAGGGGTGATCTTATTTGGGTGAGAATTTCTCAAAAAGTCAATGGTCAACCCACCAAAAATTAAAAAGTTAATGAAGATGACATGTTGATCATCATTTTTCTGTGCAGCCTGAACACCTGTGAGAGTGTCTTGAGTTTCTTACAAAAATGTTCGCCACGCCACGCATACCCTATGCCGCGACAGTAGTTTTTCAGTGGGCGGAACCTAGGGGGAGGGAGGCAAGAGTATTTCACGTAGGTCACCAAGGGCGGATCTGCGACAAAATGCCCACAAATATGAAAAGGTCAGATAGGCCATCGGCCGATTAAAGCAATTTCGAGAAAAAAAAAGTGGGGGGGGGGGGGGGGGGGGGAGAGGAGAGGGGTTTTGGGGAGTTGGGAAGAGCCGGAACTAAATTAACGCTATGAGGGCGCTATGTAGCCGGGGAATAGGCATAAACGCTTCCTTTGTTCAGGCCTGATATCAACCTCAGATATTTTTATCTGAAATATGAGTTATAGATCCTTCCTCTTTGCCGTAAAGTGGTTTGGGGAAAAATAGCAAACTTTCGGATTTATTAAAGGAAACACCCTAGTAAATAGGCCAAAAATCCTTTCGCCGAGCCCATGAATAAAAGTTATACACTCAAATTATTCTAAGTTCTGAAAACTAGGGAATTGGGGAATTGAAGACATAGGGCACTGCATCACCTCTGGCCTGGACTTCTGAGTATTTTGGATGCAATTGGGTTCCAAAGTGGCGCCAACTAGCCGTGTTGTGGAGGGATCCTTTTTCAAAATGGCTACTTTTTTCAGTTTGGGAAACATCATTCGTTTAAGGGGTGGTCTTCTTTTGCCAATTGGGTGAGACTTTCTCGAAAAGTCAATTGTCAACCCATGCCCACCAAAAATTGCAAAGAAAATTAAAGACGACATGTTGATTATCATTTTTGCTGTGCAGCCTGTACGCATGTGAGAGTTTTAGGTATTTAAAAAAAAAAGGATTTTGTAGTATGGGGATTTATCACTACTGTCTGTAGGAATTGCTATACTCGGGTGGCGTAATTTTTATTCCTAGGAGGGTTAGGGGCAATGTCATGAATAATTCATGTTTATCCATGAGAACGGACAATGACATCAACAGCATTGTTGTTAGTTTCTCAACTAGTTACAATACATTAAAGCATTTTAAAGAACGGTTGTCGTCGAGCTACCACACAGTAGCCTAGTGGATAGCGAGATGAGCTATGGATACAAAGATCCCTGGTTCGAATCCACGTCGTCGCTGCCCATTTTCATCAGCTATTTTTCTTCTCCAAATTTATCACTGAGATAATTTTAAATTAAGGGGAAAATAGAACGAGAACCTAAGTCTTGCAATGATTCAAAGGAAAAACTGAATTATTCATGACATTGCCCCTAACCCTCCTAGGAAAACAAATTACGCACTCGGGTGCACCCGTCAGGTTCGCGGATGGGAACAGAACGCCCTCTATCGGTAGTCGGGACAATTGCAACATGCATGCTGCCAGGCTGCGCGGAACAAAGGCTGTATCGTTTTTCGTGAATGACCCTGCTAAGAATGTCCTGCACAGGGGCGGATCTAAAGGAGGGGGTGGGGGGCGTTCAGCCGCTGACTAATGTTTTATATACTAGTAAAATAGGGCCAAAAATAATATCTGGAATGCTAAGGTTTCTAAAATTTATTCTCAAATTGCCTTAGAAATGAGGGGGGGGGGGGGGGGGGTGCCCCGATCCCCCTACAAGAACGTTCATCGGCACGCCTTCAGTCACACCCCTTCATGTTAAACTACCCCATTTCCTGAAAGAAAGATCCGCCCCTGTTGCACCAAGACTTTAAAATACTACGCATGAAACATGGTTTTAGTTAACAGTGACCAAACAAATAATGATCTATTCACATGTATATGACGGAACGTATCTACGGCCTGAACGAAAATAATTATCCACTATTAAAGGCGAGAGAGGGGAGGGGTAAATAGGGGGAGGGGGAGGGAGCCAAATTTGCCGACATCAGACCTAGGCGTTGTAAAAGGTGGTCAGAATATTTGTGTCTGTCACTTCGAAGTCGCAAAATCAACAAAGTAGTAGAGGGGGTGGTGGTTGGATACCATCTTTCTAAAGGGGGAGATCGGAGGGTGAGACTGCTTGTAGCGGTAGTGACTAATGCTTTCATTTACCCACGGGCCCCCATAAATCATTGTACATACGTAATGTATGGTCAGGCAACCAGTCTATCAGGACATTTCGCATGTAATAAATTCGAAGAGCATTCTTACCCTTCAGTAATCACTTTCAATCACAGTTATTATTTTATAATTAATTGAAGGATTATGCCAAAGGCTGTGCACAAAGTGCATACAGTAAGGGCTAAAGACTTAAAGAAACTGATATAACGAAGGAGGGCGGTACACGATGTGCAGGGTTTAGTGGGTCAATATATTGCGCACGGACGACGGATACAACAGCCCTGATTACAGACTTTTTTTCAAGTCTACCATATAGTCTACCATATAGTCTGCCAAGTCACCTTATAATGCATCCGTTCACAGAGGGCACTTTGCAACTCGTTCGTTCCCAACGAGGGAGAGAAGGCTCTGTAAAACATATGCAAATATACGGGACACCTGACCTCATACCACAGGTATGAGGTCAGGCTGTGGTATGAGGTCAGGCGCCCCCACGTGATTCCTAAGTCCTATTGGTCACTAAGTCCTGTCGGTCAAGATGCCGTCTTACCAGAGGGAGATTTGTCTACTTCCGCATCCCACTCTCGTCAGTGGCCTATTTGTACGCGCACACGTGTTGATATTTAAATTAAGCTGACCCCTACGTCATAGGTGGTTAGTACACAGAAGTATGCCTACTGGTAGATCTCACTGACTGTAAAATACTCCGCCACCACTAAAGGTTCTGAGACTTTACTCAGAAAACCTATCACAGTAGCTATGACAAATGCACTGGTACTAGAAGCTGACTTCTTGTTGAGGATATTACATGTACGATTATACAAAATATTTAGTGATAGACGATCAATCTGATCGTATATTTAGTGAAAGTACTCGAGGGGTTGATCATAACGCTAACATTCGGAAATTTGAAAGCAAGGTATGAGATGGCATTGCATAGCTCTGACTCAACTTACTGCGACTCAACTTTATACCAGTGAACAAACTTCAAATGTCAGTAGATCTTACAAAATGCAACCTTTTAATCTCAGATCTCAAATCATTTTACACATTTGGCCTAGTGTAGTTACAATAAACACTGACTACACAATGAGGGCACGAAATCAAAGAATACGAGGATGTTTCGGTTGTATTTAATTTTAGGGGAGATTTTGTTATACCCGAAGTAACCAACTTGCCCTTTTTGTTTGTTTGGTTACTCTTTATAATGATTCAACCGGTCTATCTTCTTACAATTAATTTTGGCCTCTACATTACCGCAGTAGTTTTTACCGTGACATAACAACCAAACGTCCATTAAATGTTTAGAGTTGATCATTGCTTAGGATGAATAACGCAAAGAACATGAAATAGATGCACCCATAGTCTGCATCGTTAGCATATTCAACCCTAACTGATTTATATAATTTCCCAGATAAATAAAAGGAAATCAAAACTGTAGTTTTGTCAACTCATTACGGGTTTCTCTAAGTTATTGTCTACCGTTTGTCAGAAATTCTTTTTAAAGATGTAAATCATTGCACTCGGGTATGTCCTATTTTATTTCAACTAGGCTAATTATTTGACATTTGAACACAATCTGTTTTAAATGGGACAACTGTATATTGCTACATCAGCTAGGATAATGGTTTAAAATTACCTGTGGTCTCACAATCTGAAAGAAAGTACCACTTGTTTAGAGGATTTCTGGGCGTGTAAGCTAAATGTGCAAGGACCAATCCGCTGCAGACATAAATCAGAGCATTTCATGGAAGAAAAAAAGTATACATAAATAATTATATACCATATATCCCAACAAATAATAAATACAGCAGTGTTTGATAATTACTTCAGAACATAGTCCTAAATAACACATTGCATTTGAACGTAGATTTTACAACCAGTATCAGTTGAAAATAACTCGGTCACAGTGGTCACAATATATTGCAATTCTCTTGAAAGTGGTAGAAAGGAGTAAAATAATGGAATCAGGTTTTGATATTGAATAATAGCAAAAACAGTGGAAAATAAAATAGGCGAGACGTCAAAATGTTACTTGATAAAATCAACAAACTGCATAACACATATCAACAGGACGTTCGCCTAAATCAGGTTTTTGCGTAAAACGATCGGCGGCTTCTCCAAGTTAAACCAATCAGTTTTCACCACCTTACGCCTTTTCCACCTCTATAAAGATACGAGGAAGACGCCCAAGGAATGTAACAAAGGAAGGGGAGCATTCTTCTGATATATTTTGTTTGGTTGAATTGGTTTTTTTTTTTCAACGGTCTTTGCGAAGTACGGATGTTTGTCGCAAAACTCGGAAGGGAAAAGATTAACAGTTTAAATTACTTTCTGGATGAAAAACATAATACGATACTCCGCACATACAAAATGTATTGAAAATGTATCAATGAAATAAAATACATTATTTTAAAGTGATCAAATTTTTACCCGATATGAGACTGAACAAAGAGCGGGATTGAATTTGTGACCTTACTTGTCAAGATGTTTTCCGAGACCCTTTGCAACACCTTTGAAGCCGATTTTTTGAGGCAAACAGAGCTCCTCATTTAGCAATATTACAATAAAAGAATAAATGTGTTGAGCCTGTTTAAAACAAGTACGGTTAAACTCGCTAGGGGCCTGGTGGCGGATAATGGCCAGAGCCGAAACCCGGCCAAGCACATAATTTATTCATAATCATAAATAACTTTCGGTCAAAAAGTCAAAATAAGTCAAAAACTGACAAAATCCGAACGATTTTACTTAGTGTTGTGTGAAATACCCCTCTGCCCATATGTTATGGTATAAGCCTCGCGCAAGTATTGCGAAAAGTCTCCTTATATGGAGATTGGCGCTCGCGCGGCGCGTAGTACTGTGCGATGTGGCGCAGAAAGCAGCAGTGTTTTATTGGCGGTTTAACACCACACACATAGCGGCCTCTCGACCAATAGGAATGGGTAAACTGTCTCAGGTATTTATTAAAGTACATTTAATATGGAGGTGTACAATCAATTAATAAAAATTGTAACAGTGAACCCTCAAATCATTTAAAATGATATGTACACACTGTATTTTCTATAGGATCTTCCTATGTTTTTAATGTACACTTTCGTTGAAGTTTATCAGTCTAAAAGACTTCTCGTCAATGAAACGAAGGACGTCTCCTCGTTTGGAGCGATTTTGTAAGAGCAGTTGTTCCCGAGCTCGCTTGGCGAATTGTTATTCGATTGGTCCTCACTGTTCTCAACCGCAGTGACGTCATCGATTGAGTCACTGAAAGGTCGGTGCACCTGCGCAATGCGTTCCAGGCTGGCGTTGTTGCTCTTGGAGATGGGCTCCGGGGTCACAGCATGGCTGTTAACCACAGAGATGGGGGCGCTGTTGGAAGCAGGGATCGCTGGTTTTGTGGTCGTGTTGCTGGAAGGCGTAATGATAGGTGTGACCGGGGGACCGATGTAAACTCCACCGAAGGCGACTGGGCACAGGCGGGACTTATCCCCCGCATCGTTGTCAAATTCCTGGGGTGTGTCCCAGCGGCTTTTACTCGGAGTGCTGTTTCTGTATCAGTTAATAACATGACATATTGAATGACCCAAAACGGGACGTATTGAATGATCCGTTCAATCAGCTTCGCTTTTTTAAAGACAGACTAAGTGCTGAAGGTCTTAATTTTATCAAGGCGTCGGAGGTAATGAAACAGACTTAAACTTAACTTTCCTTCACCGTAACGTACTACCCGGATAAACCGATCCCGAATATGGGCTCCGTGCGCCAACAAAAGAGGGCGCTTCTTACTAACTTTGAGAGCCCCGTGGACAGGCCACATCGTGGGTGCGTATCGGTTCGCGCGCGAGGTACGCACAACTTATTGATCCAGAATGTACCCAAAGCTAAGCCATTGCTTTTTATGAAAGAACTTTATCTTTGTTACACAGAAAACTTTTCTGAATGCGTAAGGATAACGATATCATGTTTATGTCCCATTTTTCTTGGCTGACACGCATTGCTTAATGGGACATTATACTCACTTTTGTGACTGATCACTCGATGTTGGCTCGGTCACGCAGAACCTGACACTCCCCGGCGAGGCACACACTTTCGAGGTCTCCGTTCCTGAAAACCACAGAATAATATCCAATTTGCATAATCTCCGAAACAAAGGCGCTTACGAATGGATTTGCCTGTATGGGACCGACTGTGATTTTGAGACACGAACTTATGTATGGACAAACTCCTGGTCTCTCTTCAAATTTTGTCGTGATACTTTTATCACTGCATATAAGAACGACCTAAGTAATATCAAATTTTGGCTCAAAGACTTCGATGTGACTTTGGAAGTCTGTTATTTAATTCACATCATCTTATTAGTTAATATTCTATATTGACCGAACTCAGTGTGGCGCTTGATGTCTAAGCACGTTTTTGTCAATTCTCTCCAAGCCTGCATTATAATTTCAATGTGATTTGAAAAGGTACCTTTTGACCAAATTGATGTGCACAAAGTAATTGATAAGCCAAAGACCTGGATGATGACAGGTAGAAACACACGAAGGACTCAAGGCTCTCTTTCACTTATCATGCCGTTCTTTGAAATATGTTCTTATTCAGCAACAACGTCCTTAGGTTTGAGTTGTAGTCGAGGTACTTGTTGTGTAATACAAATCATCACAAGCCAAGCACAAATTATCCAGTCCCATGTCAACTGACAAACCTATCAAACGAATTGTGCAAAGGGCATTCCTTGTTATGTTCATCACCTGTTACTTGTGACTGGACATGTAAAATGTGATTTATTTGTGATTGGACTTATTATATGTACCTGTGATAAATCACGACTACCTCGACTACAATACTTCAATTTAAGGTTCATTGGCACAATTGGGTATGTCCAATACCTCTGGATTTGTTAGAGTGACAGGTGGAGTTTGGAGTGTCGATGCCAGATGATCGGCCTTCCCCATCCTGTAGCAGTAAAGGGACCTCGTCTGGCGCGATTGCAAACAGCTGCTTCTCTAGTTCCTTGATCTTCTCGTTTTGCTGGGAAGGAAAATCGATTTCACAGAAAAGTATAATTTTGTATCCAGTATGTTATATTTTTGAATTAGAAGTATCAAATGCACCGTCTAAGAAAATTCGAGAGAAACGAACAAAAAAAACCCAGACTCGATCTTGTATTGAAATAGAGAGTAATATGGCATCTTGTGCAATAAATAATAGCAGTCACGAGTTCAACTTGCTCCATTTGCTTAAACAGACAACGATAATTTGTCACGCTGACCACATGATTTTATGCTCATCCCGATAAGATGTTGTTCATGATGTACGTTTGCCATCCGGCCAGAAAATAGAGGACAAGCTGTGAGTTCCACATAGGCCATAGGGAATGCTAAAAAAGCGCTGTTTCTACAGTCGAGTCGGAGCGGAGGAGGTGGTTCTGTGGGAGTCGAAATATGGCAGGAAGAGGCGGGGTAGGCAAGCTATGTCCTATGCTCCATGTCCGACGATTGCTGGTTGACCTCAGACCCGACCTGACAGAGCAGGGCTGCAGTTTGTTCTTAAGATCAAGTGGGACAGAGCAATGAATTATCTAGAACGTGCGAGAAGGATCTTCAACTGAACTAGATCCTGCTCATGCGTGGACAGCGAGACTTACCTCGTCTAACTTGGATTTCAATTCCCGCTTCTCCGAGCACAGAGACTTGAATTTCTGGTCCGTGTCGAAGGTGTGAATGGAGGTTGATGCCGTGCGTGTCTTGTCCATGGTTCCCACCACTCTTACTCTATCGTTCACGTTGGGATTACCTCTCATCTCTATGACCTGAGCATTACACAATTTCATTTATTACACTAATCTAGGTAACACACTGAGTATACAGTGTTTATACGTCGGTGAAGGGCCAAACCTAATTTGATTTACATCACCCCGACGCAAAATTCCATCTTACGAATAGTTATTGCGGTACCCGCTGCTATGTACATCAGATTCGAACCAGCCAATCGATCCCGTTAGCTCGTTAGTCGAGTGGTAAGACATCTGCACTAGAAAGCAGAAGGTCGTGGGTTCGAGTCCCACCCAAGTGATTTTTTCCAACTTTCACTCGGAGGGTAACACACTGAGTATACAGTGTTTATACGTCCGTGAAGGGCAAAACCTAATTTCATTTACATCACCCCGACGCAAAATTCCATTTTACGAATAGTTAATGCGGTACCCGCTGCTATGTATATCAGATTCCAACCAGCCCACCGATCCCATTAGCTCGGTGGTCGAGTGGTAAGACATCTGCACTAGAAAGCAGGAGGTCGTGGGTTCGAGTCCCACCCTAGTAATTTTTCACTAATCTAGTTAATAAAATACAAGACCGATTCTCGTACAGTGCCCAAACACCGAGTTTTAAAAATGCTCCTTTTCAATCTTTCAACAGGTTTTTTTTTCGAGTGGAAATGCAACATTCCATCAATCCATTGATTGATGGAGTGGAATGTTGCATTTCCCCTCAGGAAAAAAAAACCTGTTGAACGGATCAAAGGATGTGAGTCAACTGAAGACAACTTGTGATGACGGATCGATCTGTTGATCGATCTGGTGGGTTGGGACTCGAGCAGCTGTTGACTTAGAACAATGCTATGAGCGAAATCGGCATCAGCTAGTGTAGCTGAACTCAGGCGATTACGGTGGGTTGTGTCTTTTAAGACCTCCTTGAAAATAATTTCTCAGCGATCTTCACATTATGACTTATTCAGCGATGTGAAATGTCGACACAGAATGACTTATTTCCTTTACATGTAACAATTTTAATCGTTTCCTCTCTTTTATTTTTGAGTATTTTAATTTAAACCTGTCGTGAAGGGTTTACGTCAAATTAATTGGACATTGGTTGAATAAGACTAAGCCAATTGATTTCATTGGACTTTCATACAATATAGATGTAGTTTAAGTCGTGTGATCAAACTAATCACATTAAAGAAACGTCCAGCGCGAAAAGAGCCCTCAGTCTTGCACATTCTAGAAATGCCTGAAATAATAGTGTTCATGTATTGCCGCGGATTTAAAAACAAAATAAGATAAAACTAAACTGGTTAAACGCACCTTTGGTACGAAGACCAGACAAAGAGTCACCGTAGAACAGAATAGTATGAAGACGGACACCAGGCCGTAAGAGGCGTTAGGATTATCTGTTATGACAGAGGATAGAGCCACGCCCAGCACGCACATGATGACGACATTATACACGCTGCTACCGATGTATTTGCTGTCATTCAGGGCAGGGATACTAACGTGACGAGTCTCCCAAGCCAAGAAAAGACCAAATATCTGGACAGAAATGGAAATAAAATCACGTTACTTGGAAGAGCAAAACAAATGATGATAATGACAACACTGAAATAGCAAACGGCACAACGTTATTGTTCGTAGTTCATAGTTCATGCGAGGTTCGCCACTCAGGGCCGGGGTACGGACCTAACGGCGTCTCCCTAATGTCTAGTGCCTTTTAAATAGGTAACTGAAATCTCTGTTTCCCACCTCATTTTTAAATCTCGTGATCGAACAGATTACAGTTTCATGTTGTGATTGATAAACCTTATGAACCAATAATAACGACAAGGTATTCATCAATCCTTCGAATGATAACAATGGCCACAAAAGACTGGTTTACTTAAGAAGGCATGCGACCGTGTTCAGCAAAGCGATACTGTTAATTTGAATGTTAATTTTGTATTAAATATCTCCCCTGTTTTTCTGATTCAATTTTGTCCTCACCCTATCCAACTATCTGAAAACCAATCGTCTCTTTTGGTGTATTGATACGACCAAGGTCTCTCTTGAAACACTCACCATCAAGACTCCTTTGTAGATGTAAATCGCCGCCAGCCAAATCGTCATATTGACACTGACACAGGTTTCCATGACAGGAATAATCATGACGTCACGACCAGATGTATCCATCTGAAAAACAGAGGTAAATTAGAATGAAGTTAATCACACATTCATTTCACTTTATATGAAAGGTTATTAACAGCAAGGCCCAACAAGGAAAGAAATAATAATTACAAAACGCTCTCATATATTCGATTTCAATGCCTCATTAATAAGCACCTATGAAGCAGCATGCGTTTCAAACTTTCGCTTGTAGTTATGCTGTCGGTCGTAACTGTCTGAGAGCGTTCCGGCGTTGCAAGGAACCAAATTACAAAATTACATGTACCAACGTACATGGACACTTCGACGTTTGAAACAAATTGGAGCAACCTCATCGAAAAATCAACTGTTGCATTCGTTTATAACAACTCCGAAGAGTTGAGGTTTTATACGCCGTTTAGGTCAATGCAATATGAATGCATAAAGTTTGCCCGTCTGAATCCAAAGTGTATATTGAGTCGATTTAAGTCGCTCCTGGTGTTTTTTTGTCTCGTGATTCCGGAACGCCAGTCTGAAACTGGTGTCATTCTTCAACAAAGGCAGATTTATTCTAGCTATAACTTACTTTAATTTGTATTTCTTTACATATGCATCATAACATGTATTGTAATTCATTTAAACATATAGGGCCTATGTACTTTACACATCGATTAATTAATTTGTTAAATTCTTTTATGGAAAACTCTTTGAAAACCGCTTAAATTGAGTTAAGTTTTCCGTACCCTTGAGCTGAGTTCTAGTTTTTTAGGCTTCATTGGATCCACGACCTGCCAGACGACCAATACGATGAGATCAATGACCGCCATGAAGCCTACTATGGCAATCAGCTGCCCGTCTTTGATAACCTGTGGTTCCATAACGATGGGAAAAAAGAGCATGTTGAACTGTGTCACTGCTTCAGTCAGTCTCTTTTTAATACTACTCCAAAGACAAAAAAAAGGATCAACCTCATAAAATCTCATATCATAGAAAATTAATAGTTAATGAAGAACAGTGCTCACCGGATTAGCTGTTGTACCCGAGCTTTCGGACCTCCGTCCTTCTTCATGGGGTGTTGGTCTTGCATGTTGGGTACAACAGCTAATCCGGTGAGCACTGTTCTACATTAACTATTAATTGTTTACGCTCTACGCAGTGCTACGCAGCATCCCTACATGTTGAATCTCATATCATGTTACTTTGGTTTTCCATGGAAATATGTGAGATTGTGATGTTCATGTTTTGGTTGCCTTACTTAAAAGTTCTTTATCGAATTTCGGTAATCCATGCAATGTAATAATGTCATACTTCAGGGCTATTAGTGTCGTTTCAAGTTAACTCAAAAACGTGGTTTAATATTGATGACAACGAAATGTACGGCAAGTAATATACAGGCGACAACCATGCACAAAAAAGACGAAGTAAAACTTGTCCCACAGTTGATAACACAAGAATTGTTTCATCGTACCTTCTTTTTCATCTTGATGTTAGTGAAGATCCGGTGGACTCTCCATGTCTTACTGAACATGGCACCGAACGCTAACGTGAAACCAAGACATAGGAACCAGGCACGAGACTGCACAGGGCCAAAACAAAAAAGAAAAGAAAAGCGCAATGAATGCGTTGAAAATAACGAAAATAACTTATACCCATTTCATGCTCACACCGAGCAAAATGATTCCCTTTGATTTGGAGTTGGATTTAGACCTGTGTTCCGACACCCTATCTTTTCCGACTGCTCAACCTATGTTCCGACACCTCTACGTTCCGACACCCCTACAAACGTAAACATAGGCTGGTCTCTGGCCCCAACGCACCATTCGAAACAGGCTAACACATTATGTGCGGGTTGTCGGAATATAGGGGTGTCGGAACATAGGGTGTCGGAAGATAGGTTGAGCAGTCGGAACATAGGGATGTCAGACCATAGAGCAGTCAACTTTAGGGTTGACCTTTTATACACGCGCAAGTCGTTGAAACTTTCGACTGGTTTGGAAAAACTACACGGAGTTTAGTTCCTTGATAATTGATGAATTACGCCTGTGTGAAATCACAACGAACTCGAGTGGCGTCCAATGCTGTTTTGGTTCGGTGCTACTCGAGCTGTTAAACGATCTCTAATGACAGAGACAATGTGCGGAATATGTAAACTCGTCTACTGAATGCGATCATTTTGTTTGCTTGATATAAGATGTTCTTCAAACTGTAAATTCACTGTAAATATAAGTTGATTTCTCTGTAAAAGTTGGATTTCTCTGTCTTATACTTTGTTCCCACGAATTAAGGTTAAAGCTCAAGTTCATATGCGACAATACCTACCGTGCAGATAGCCTTGTATGTATCAGCATGCAGCCGAATATTATGATCTATGCCAAGCAGAACCACGCTGACATAGGTCAATATGCCGCCCATGATGATCAGGTTATTCAGAAAGGGACTGGACATTTTGATGTACCTGTAGACATGATAACAGTGTTCGAGATGTATAACAAAAGCTCCATCGGGCGATCATCATTACCAAAAGCTCATTTCACAAAAGAAACTTTTTTTCTTCAAAAACTGAGACGTGCCTGCGTGTCTGAATCATTCTGTTCAAAGATTGGAACAGAATTACAAACAAAGACTGTTATTTTCAGACAGTAATTTTGTGTTATATAGCGAATGCTTTCGAGGAGTTGTGGATTTGTATTCATTCACGAAATGCATAATTCAACATTATCATCTTTCTGTTTTCATCATTGTGATCTAACGACCATTCCAACTTGCATAATGTTGCAAAGGGAATTCCGTCACAAAGTTATATTCCAACACGTTTTGAAACTTTATTCGATCATCAGCTAACAGGAACTTGGTTTTGACAGAACACATTATAAATTAGTTTAAAAGTTGTTTTTATTTTTTTTTATTCAAACTGCATCTTTTCTCTGCGTCGTGATTCCCGTTAATTGGACTTCCAGTGCGTTGTCAAGCAGTTGAGGAAAAAACCCGGCAAGTATAATGAAGATCTTGTTTTAAGAGTATACCTCATCTGAAGACTTAAACTTGTTATGCTGACGAGATTCACAGTCTATCTTAAATGACAACATTTCAGTTGTAATCCTGTGAGGATAATATAAGTTTTATAGGACTGAATAAGTCAACCTGACACGATAAAACACAGTGTCTTGTCATTCTGTTATCTTGCCAGGCGATGCGAAAAATCCTGTCAAGTTCATCCCCCGTATAATGTCATCAGCATTTCAATTTTTGCGTCTCAGTGTTGTCCATACCTACCTCTGGTTTCTGTATCGCATGTTGAAGAACAGAAAACCGAAGGCCATGATGATACCGGCGATAGCGACTGCTGACATGCCTCCGAAGAGAGCAAGGGAGACATTGAGCTGTTCATACTCAGTCACCTGCGTGTCTTGAGGGGGCTTATCACCACCACCTGTAGAGAGTAAAGCATGCACATACTACATCATTATCTCATACTCGGCGCGGAAGTGAACGCGAACGCCACTTCGTTGAGTCACGGCTGCATATTCACAAAAGTTGGTCCCATTTTCAACGCGAAAGTTTCGTGACGTCAAATTCGCTTGGGTTGACGGCGTCTAAACGTAGCACAATGCTCAACTGCTTGCGTATTCATATCATGCTTTCTCTAAACTTATCATGCTTTCTCTAAACTAAAGTTACAACAGCTCACTCTATAGTCACACTATGGAGCGCGAAAAGTGATTCTGAAGTTTAGAAACTCAAGTCATATACATGTAATGACTCTGGACTTTCAAGTGTAAGTCTTGTTGCCTTGGCCTGTTCTCCCGACTATCAGTACCATAATGAATAGCAACTAAATTAATGCTTATAGTGTAAAAACAATGTACTTCCAATTTCGATATGGTACTGACAAGTCAAACACGACTATGATATATCCAGTCATAGTCGTATGGCTCTCTTACAGGTGTAAATATACAGTCTGGAATTAACACAGTGACACTGAGTGCTACGTATATATTGAATTCAATAAAATCAGACTAACAATATGCCAATAGCCAGAATTACAAGCAACAATCAAAGCCGGAATCGACCCCCTTTGATGAGTAAGGTTGTACCTGAACTTGGAAACAAAGACTGAATGCGAAGAGCAGTAAAGCAAGAAGTAAGCTGCAAGCGCTGTTTTCCGTCTGCGTTAATTTTCAAACTTCCAACAGCAATAGACCAATCCATTAAGGCATCGAGATGTTTTGACCAATTGCAGACGTGTTTGCAACCAAACATCTGACAGGATCTCTCAAGCGTGTACTTGTGGAAGATTCCGAGTGGCATTTGAATAATTCAGTATAGCGTTAAGTTAACAGCCAGTCAGGTATCTTGCTATATGTGTGGAAATGAATGTTGAAGTCAGTCGTTGTTAAAGTGCTACAGTTATGCTGCATAAAAGGTTGATGGAATGTGAAATTCTTGCCAAATTCTTTCCTTGTGAGTGGCCCAACTGGAGCCTGTAGTACATTGTATTTGTACAGCCACCCAAACCTGAAGCCTTTTAGCTGACGAAAGATCTGATTTTTGGCTGTTTCAAGCTCAAGAAATTCGGTTTCAAGAAGTTCAAGGGAGGAATTAGTTGGATATTATTGTCGTTAAATTGTAAAAAGAATAATCCACATTCTTCCTGCCTTATCTGACATATAGACTCTGACATGCGTAAACTTGAGATTGTACTGTTTCGGGTAGCCATTATAGGATGCGTGTTGTTGCCCCCGTTCGTTGTAGGCTTAAAAGGGGATATTACGTCCTGAAATCCTCGACAATTTTAAGTTTTGGATTGGTTAATTATCCTATTTCAAAGGTCTGGTTGAAAGGAATCTAGCCTAATGTCTTACCATTCCTGAGAAAAGAAAAAAAGTTGGTTGTTTACATCGAACGCGGCAGACATTTTGTGGCATACGCGTACGTATTTCCAGCCGTGTCCATTCAATGTACGCTACACGTTATGCATGTGTGTCAATTTATATACCCACAGCACCGATACACAAATAGTGTGTCACGCACGTCTGCAGAAGGAGAAACACTGTGCGGCAGGAATCACAACTAGCACTCAACAGCTCGATGTTTGAGAGTAAAATGTTGACCACCGAAATTCGTTCTCGCATGGTTCTGGCAAGAATAACACGCCGCTCAGTTATTAAAGGATGGTTGTGTGGACAATTATGTCCTACTTTTAGATAATCTGTGCAATTAATATCATTTCGTTTAAAACGCGTTTTGTGGCCCAATTGGGCGCATTCCAAGACGTAATATCCCTTTAATGCATCGGCCTACTGCATCATAAAAACCTGCCACAACCGGTTACTTACCAGGCCACTCGAAGCCAGCGCCTGATGACAGGTTGAGGGAGTCAGTGATGGCGTAATACTCGGCCACTTTCACCAACTCATCATTCTGAAGCTGCTTATGAACGGTAGATCCCAGTCGTTCACCCTCACGGAACTGAACGATACCCTGATGGTTAGAGGGGAACAAAATCACCCCTGAATTGAATCATCAGTAAGTTCAAAGACCATGAAAATGAATTCCATAAACCAAACCGTTTCGGATTTCATTTATTCTGATTTGTAGAGTTGATGTAACACTATATGTTGACTGTAACACTATATGTTGACTGAGATTAGGTTTTTTATAATAACATTATTCATTTATTTACAGAGGGGATCTACAAGTGTGACATGGATATCGGCACAAGAAGTTTTTCAAAAAAGAATTTCATTTAATAACACATTTCGTTTCTGTCTGTATCACTAATTTTTTTTTTCAAATCACCTGTAGGCCTTAATATGGGCTCCATGCAAATGTACCCCCTCATCGGTAAAAAAAAAGGAGAGTTTGGGAGACCAATGGGAGGGACATTCGAACGCACTGCTGACGACGTCTGATGCTCATGCGAAGAAACTGTTGCTTTGTGCACATTTAGAACAAAGACAGTACGCACACGCGTTGTGTCCCGTCCACGTGATTAAGCGGTAGAGAAAGCCCTCTCTTGTTCACGCCTGGAGCCCATAGACTACATTAAATTCATCATCACGGAGCTTGATAGGTGTTTGAGAATAAAATAAAATATGATGGATTGAAATTGTTTTCACCAATGATCCAAAAATTTATCACTTTCAGTTTTATTTGGAAAAAAATGAAGCTTGGATTATTTCAATTTACGGAACTTTTAAGTTTGAGTTTGTGTAAACACGGTTACCCGACTGAATGAATAATTAAATGAATCATAAATCCATACACAACAACATGTTGTGCGAATTTCATGATAATCATCATTTTTGTAAACGAAGAGTTTAATATGATTTTTCGAAACGCTGATTTCGGCTACTTGAATTTATTTTGAATTGGTATTCATACAAGCTTCACTTTCGACTCAAAAGTTTTGAAGGGAAATGTAAATATAAAATGCGATTGTTTTCTCCTCACGAATATTAATGTATACGTTTTATTTTAACGGTGAAAACTACCTTTTTAAACATTCTTTTGGGCGTCTGCAACCCTCTGAAAAGGGGATTTTAATTTGGGTTGCTTTAAGCATCTTACGCCTGAATTATTGTCGGGCCGCTAATAATTAAACATTTTAGTTCGACGTCAAAAGTGAATAACTTTATCATTGTAATGGAAACAATTTTTATACAAAATATTAATAAATACCTTGGAAAATTGATGGTTTCTGATTGGTCGAGACTCGATTACGTGGCCGGGCATTAACGGTGATAATGGACCGGCTTCAAAGATCAAGCGAATAAATGGCCCCTGAACCAGCATTGATCCAGCCCCGTTCAGCCCCATGCAAGCCAATGATTGGTCAAAATATAGTAACAGTCCTGCGGAAGCTTTTAACAATTGAGCACTGCACATGCGCTCAACCCCCATCGCGTGAGACCGACGCGCGCGTACGCAACACAGTTGCTAGGGATGCGTGCGTGCGCGCGCGTAAGGAAGTTTTGAAACGACATCGTACAGCAGCGGAGTGCAGTATATACTGAGGATGTTTACGACGAAAGCGTAGATCTACGATTTATTTTCTTTAAACATTTCACCCACCGACATATTTACCTTTCCTAAACCAAGCATCTTTGTAATTCCGGACACAAGGAATGTGTAAACGAGATTTCAGCTTCCTCCATCAGGTAAAGATATGAAAACATTGTTGTAATTTGTTTCGCTACGGCAGCAGTTTCTGTTGAGTTTACGTCGTTATAGCTGTTAAGCTAAAATATGGCCCATGAACATGAACACACAAAAGTCTGGAAATATCGCCGAAAGAAAGTCACAAACTTGGAGCATTTTAACTGTTTATTTCGTTATAAAGGTATTTATTAATGGGAATAACAGTGTGAGGATCCGGTCTTCACTGCGTGATAATGACCGGGTGTGGGGGTGACCGCTGTTAATGGACCTCGACTTCGTCTCGGTCCATTAACAGCGGTCACCCCCACACCCGGTCATTATCACGCAGTGAAGACCGGCTCCTCACACTGTTATTCCCTTATTAATAAACAACCCTATTTTTTTCGGGGAAGCTCGAAAATAACACTAGAGGAACTAATAAACCTAGCCTAACACCTACCGTAACCCCACGGAAGTTGGTCTCATTCATGGCTTTACTGAACATCTCCAGTAGTCCGTCATCAGAGTAATTAAACTGCTGGAATCTCGCGAGTTCTCCCCGGTCACGTAGAGTCCGCAGCACGCTGTCCAGCGCACGCGCCATGACCCACACACCATCATACGCGTAGCCATGGAAAGCGGAGTACTCATCACCCCGTAGCTCATTGTATAAGGTGTCGTACTCTTGCGGTGTCTAAAAGAAAGAATATTCAAACATACACCAGTAAGACTCACTTGATAAGCAGTAAGCACTGGAGATTAAGAATCGAAAACAAAATAAAAAGACATTTTTTAAAAGTTTTAATTCTGATATTAAGATGCCCTCAATACTCATTTGCTAAGAATCATCATTTAATTTGGTGAATTCATGGCAAAATGAATAATTCTTTTCGGCAAATTTATCATTCCAATCTTTAGGGTTAGTATTCCTGTGGGCAACTTCGTCACTCCATCTGGCGACGTCTGTTCAATAAAGTGGTCAATTTTAAATTATATTACCGAATGTGATGATGGATTTCCCGAACGGCAATGATTAATTTGCCGAAAGGATGATTAGCCTGAACAAGCGAGTGATGCAACTGTTGAAAGCATTTTTTGTGCGTACCATACTAGCGTACTAGGCTAGATATTTTAGTCTAATACTGCTTGTTGATAAAAATCAAGGATGTGTTATACTTGTTCTGTGATTGGTTGATATTTACTGTAAATTCCAAACAATCGCTTCCTGTAATTTTGTCGTGTAAGTCAATTGTTCCCAACAAAATTACATTTAGCATTCGAACACACCATCGAACACCATGAAATAAGGGATATAGGGTTGAACACGGTTAATGGGAATTAACCCGTAACTCTTGCACAGCAACAAATACGGGTAAGATAAGATGTCTTTGTTTTATTAAGTGTATAATTTTGTGTATTTCGAACACTAAAGCGCCACAAAGACAACTGATCTCGTCCGTGTCATGTCCGTGATGTAGGCTATATGTATTTGTCAATTCAACCATAGAATTACCGTGATACAAAACCCAAGTCACAAATACCCATATAGAAGCAACTAGATCCTAGCTAGGTCTTCTTGACTGTTTTGCCTAGGTAAAGAAACCTGTAAGATTACTACCGTTGTGCATGGGACATCTCAATTTTGGCTGTCAACATGTGGCGGCTGTTTTTAACAATGCACAATGATGCATTTATCGTTGAGCGATCACCCAGTGTGATGCTCAAAGTAGTATCCTTCTCAAAACAAAGACCTTTCCTTACATATCCAGACACGGTAGGCTCATCCGATCCACTGAGTGGTAGTAAATCGGTGGAGATGTACCCCTGTAGGGCCAACTGCAACTCACTCTCAGTGCATCCATCTGAATCATCGACAGAGCGCCACCAATCGGCATGGAACCATCCAGGCAAAATCCACACGTGCGTCTTCCCGTACATACCCTCGTTGTACGCCTATGAAAGACAAAAGAGCAGACAAATAGTCATTATGTAGAATCAGTTCACTTTGTGGAATAAAGGACGTATCATACCTAATACATACGTGATTGGAAGGGCTTTTAGATTTTAACATAAAACAATAGGAGCGATGTTACGTTTGAGAAGACATTGTAGTTTTTGAGCATAATACTAGCACAATTATCAGAATTTGTATTACATGTGATGAATTTAGAAATTACAGTGTCTGTAGAAAGATAAACACAAATTTCAAGTGATTTTCCTTACGTCTGATTGAAATTGGACATATATCAAGTATTAAGTCAAATTTACGATTTGATGCATGACAGCAATGTGACTGAACATGTTTCTGTTTCCTCGGAATATTTGCCTTATCAAAGTGGCAGAGATTTTTTTTAGAACGCTTTGATTGGACGATTTTTTTCAATAATTCCAAAACAGGACCTGAATACATTGTACGTCATATGCGTCATATAGTATCACACGCGGTACAGTTAACTCCGATCGGTAGACATCCTCTTCACGGTGTTCAGTATCTACAGCAAACTAGCAGCAAAGTGCATAGCTATCAAATGCACGCTTCAAGTTCCTTTCACGGAGTTCATTTCCATATAAACCGACAGCATTCCCGGACCTGTTTGCTTATCGAGTCCCAACCGTCCTCGGAGTTAGGGTCTTCCCTCACCAGCGAACTGGGCCGTTAAAAGGCAGCTAAACACCGGTAGCTGGGCAACCTGCAGACCGGCCTGGAAATTAACTTCCCGTTAATCAAATATACGGGATGGACGGTAAATAAAATATCGAATGAGACAGAAAAAAATCCAAGGAACAGTCACCAGTGAGCGCTTGGTATGAGGTCTGCTCGCAATTACTTTCTCTGACTTGATTCGATTCTGGATTGGAATTAGTCCGCTCAGACGACCATCGAGGGAAATTAGACATCGACGTGCTCTAGACACGAAAATTGCAAATTGAAAAGCCGGAGCGAAGGAGGGTCGTATGTCTTGTATAGCCTACGCATAACCCACTATGGCAATAATTGACCGGGTTTGGAAGGACAAAACCGGAACAAAGATATTTTCTTCCTTACCATTTTACATGCGTCTCAAATATCATGCATGACAGCAAATAAACCCAAACCCTCCCCACACCTCCAAAGCTTTGAAGATATTAAATTCTGCTCCGAGACGATGGTAGGCCATAAAATGATTGACTCTAGCAGATTAGAAGAACCGACATATCACAATGTCTTTTTTGCCTGCAAATTACATGTTTCATTCTTTGTTGGTTTTAATACTGGGTCATAAGGGAAACAAACCACACAATCAAACATTGTGCATCTCACATTGTTTGGAACTTGACGAGTTTAATACACGCTGAAACAATCCTCCTTCCATTAATTTGCGTCAAAGCACATATAGCTCACATTAGATCTCTCATAAATCGCACTTCGTGGCCGTTAGCCTTCATTATGAGCAACAGTGCAGACGATTCCTTTTTATTCCAATTTTCCCCATCGATTTACACGGTAATTGAGTCGAGCCGTTCCTGGTAATCGAGTTGCAGATGGAAATATAAAATCTGTCATTAAAACTGCATTAGGCCCCCGTCGCGACATTTTTATTAGATGTGCATTCTGATAGGCAATCGGATTATTTCAAATGTCCTCGGTCGTTTAGATCCAGCTGTTTTCTTCCAGGAATTGACATACCCGGCTCCATCCTTTGTATTATCCACTCCCATCCACTCCAGACATTAAGGATCAGAATGCAATCATTCCTTTCAATGATATGTCCGCGAGGACTTGAATAAAACACATTTTTGTATTCAAAAGATGGAATCTGTGTCGGGGTAATTAAATTCAATATTTGGGTTTGCCCTTCACTGACGTCTTTTATAAACACTGTATACTCAGTGTTGTCCCCAGTGATTGTGAGAAAAAAGTCAGTCGGTGGGACTCGAACCCACGACATCCTGCTTACTGTACTAGTGGAGACGTCTTGCCTCTCGACCACCGAGTTCGCTGGGGTCGGCTAGCTGGTTCGAAATTGATGTAGCAGCAAGTACCACAACCACACTACAGGGTGAGTAAAAAAAACCCGAAACCCAAATGTCAGGACCATTGTTTTAGTGAAGTTCTGCATGTAGCACTTTCAAAATCTAGGATATGAAAGCCCCATTTATAAGCTTTCTTTTAGTACAAAAGTCATTCAAATCACTCACGTAATTTTTCAAGTTACATAATTCTAAACACAACCACCGTTTTAAAGTTCTTTCGACGGATCACAAAAAGGTAAGTGTTCTTTCAGCATAACGAAAACAAATCACAGGGATGTGTGTGAATTGTTTTCGTTTTGCTGAAAGAACTCACATTTTTTTGTGATCCGTGGACAGAACTTTAAAACGGTGGTAAACCGTTGCGTTTAAAATTCTGTAACTTGAAAAGTACATAAGTGATTTGAAGGATCTTTGTACTAAAAGAAAGCTTATTATTGGGCTTTCATATCCTACATTTTGAAAGTGCTACATGCAGAAATTCACTAAAACAATAGTCCCGACATTTGGGTTTCGTTTTTTTTTTACTCACGCTGTATTCATCAGATGGAATTTGCGTCGGGGTACCGTATTTGTAATGTATTGTAATTTCAATACCATACTACTTTATTATATACTAACAATAAATCATAGGCCACTTGGTAAATTAAAAACTGATTTACGATAGTCAACCACAAAATGGACTCACCTTGCAGATGACTTTGCGCGCAGTGTGTTCATCAAAGAAACCAACGATAATTCTTGCTTTATCTTCCTGCAGGAAAAATAGTGACAAAGATCGAGAAGTTGGATTTCATACATTAAACGCTTGTTGTTTTTGTCCTTTTGGGGCTATTTATTATCAATGATTTTATTATTCTTTTTTTACTGAAAATGAAACCAAGAGTTTCTTATACCAAGAGTTTCTTATATTTTCAGTTTATGAGAGAGGAAAACCCCATCAGGCAAATATTTTTAGGAAAGCTCAAGGATCAGGAAGGGATCCAATCCACATATTGGTCTCGGCGGGACTCGAACTCGGGCCACAAAGGTAGAGAGCTAAGAAAGAACCATTGCATCAACCCAACATCCCAAATTTGACTACAATGTACAACTTGTGACTTTTCAAGCAACTATGTTGATGCCCTTTACTCTCTTTGCATGCAGCTTAAACGACCTGTGGACGGAAATGCCAAGATTGAAAACTATATGGCTTATAATCAAACACTTTCGATCTCAGGCTGTGCTCCGTGGTCATAATGTGGGTCGATGTGGCCGGCAGCCATAGGCGCCATACGTGCCAGCGGCCCGACCACGTTGTAGCCGCGTCCTTCGCAATTCAGCAAACCAGCTGCGAGTAAGGATGATTAGCCTCCTAAATTATTATTATTATTAATCACCATCTATAGGTTCGCCTAGGGTAGCGCTTTTAGCTTTTTAGACAACTGTGTAGCTACAATCAGCGGAAGACTAGGCCATCACTAGTTGGTCTGCATGCAAAACGCAGGGTATCACGTCGCCTTCAATATCAGCAGTTGTTCCACCAAACCCAAGTGTAGTACGTTCATGAGGACGAGGGAAGCGATCCTGTGCTTGCTTTGAGGTACAAGGTAATATCGATCAAACGTAGCAAGACAGTCAGACTTCATTACAGCAAATGGATGGGCATTCAATTCAATTAGCTGGCCAATTCTTAACGTTGATGGGTGGAATTGCTTATAAAACGCATTATATCCTCGCGCAGTGTGATTGATTGAGCTTAGATTTACGTGATGGTTGCTAGGGGTCTCTACTCCTACAGCGGAAATTACGAAAAGAACTTCGTTTTAATCAAGAAAGACTTTGATGGATTTCTTCCCAAAGAAAACTTTCTATAAGGTACCAAAAATATACAGAAATATCAGTAATTGATGAAAATTGGAAAGTCAAAGCAGATACTTCTGATTATCTGTCTTCAATTTATTTAATGGGGTATCAAAAGAACGTAGTCAACTAGAACGCACTGCAATTTGTGTTCACCTTTGAACGTGTACAGTTGGGTTTAGTCACAAGAAAAACTGTGCCGGCAAGCCTCTGATATAGGATTTCTATTATAGAGTAATACGTCAGTAACCTATAAGGACGTGAAAGATGCTTATTTTATTGTGCTTCAAATACAGCCTTTTTTTCAATGACATCTCAAGTTGCTCAAAACCTACAATATGCTGAGAAGATCTCTGGGGTTGTTCAAGCTTGTGGCTCACTTAGGTGTTTGACTTGGATACATGGTTGTCTATATACTGCCACCAAGCGGTTGAAATGTCTCACACTCAAAGTTTTGCCAAGTGACATTTTGATTACAACCGTAAATTGTGTGACTTGAAAACGATGACAATTATAAATCCTAGTTTTTGGTATATCTAGTCTTCTTGCCAGTGGTTTCGTTCTTCTCAATCGCTGTATCCAAGGGCTATGGTGACCGCTAATCCCTTTCACAAAATACTTGTGAAGGAAACGTAAGGATCGCAAAGTATTACGAGCATATCGTTCGTAAGGGTCGTTTGCACACGGAAGAATTGAACCCAGGTCACGTGCTAAGAAACAACAGGTCACCAAAGCCCTTGGATAGCGACCCCAGGATGATGTGAGCGTCATGTCCACATGACGGCATGCTCACCAACTACACGTCCAAATGAATGTCTGCTGCCTTCTACCTGTTTATTTCGATCGAGCGCGTTTGGCACCTTATCGTGTTTGGTGGTTCCTCTCCCCACGGCATTCTAACACCGAGGCAGCGCACTCGAGTCCCTGTGGCCGAGTTGGGTTTCTCTCAGCCTAACCTCGTTTTTTCCTCTTTCCGCGGCACCCCGTTACGAGGACATTTCCGCCGTCTCAAGTGGAGAGAGCAGTGCCCGTGCATACGTGAGCGCGGGCTTTTAGCGATATCCGAAGCGACCCTGCTTGTACACTTAGCATCGGATTCGGATTAGCAATGCCCAATAAGGAATCCTATAAGGGTTCTCTTGTGTTACACTAGACGTGTCTGCATCTAATGTACATGTGATTACGGTAGTAACGTGAATGTAGGACAGGTCAACCCTACCCGCTAAGAACATGTCTCGAGGCTTGTAGCATACATGAGCTGAGCTAATTAAAGCAAGTACATTGCCTTGAAAGTTTTGTTACTTGTTTCATTATTTTCTTTAATGTCGTAGCTATCAATATTAAAGTGAAATATTACAAACCATTCTCCTTTTGTTTACAGGTAAACATCTAATGCGATAATGACACGGATCAACTTTATTATGACATGCCCATTGAGAGCATGGTTTATTTTCAGATGTACATTTGCTGATAATTATAAAGCTGTGCTGAGCTGGATACCCCATTGCCCTTGTCATTACCGTGTGAATTGCGTGTATCGCAGTCTTTGTATATCTACTATCAATGCCAATTTATGATTTGTAACCATCCGGTGTACGTAACCAATGGTAAGCTCTTACATTCAGCTACACTTTCAAGAACTTCATGAGAAAGTCCCTTGTATAGGGATATGATTTCTGCTTGCCGACCACCCTCCCCCCGCAAATCTCCCTGGTGAATGATTCAGTGTATGTATCCAATCGGAAAATCAAATTTATGGATGTGAGTGGTGGTAAATAATTGAATTATGACCGACGTAAATGGCCGGGGCTGTTGATTAAATGTCCAATTACCAGTCCCAGTCCTGTCCTGCCGATCGCTCGATGGGGAAAAAATCGAGCCTTCCTCGCGCCCTGGCACGCGATGCAGAACTACTGCGATGGTACTCAAAAAATTTGATGACAGATTTATAATTTCCAAGATTTCATATTCCAAGTACAACTACAGACATATGAAAAATAGCAGGAATTTAGTCTCAACATCCAAGTGTCTGCAGACAGCTCGTTGACCTATAATTCTAATGTTTGCAATGTTTGCAATGAGAGCTGATATGCGAATCCTAAAACGCAGTGCTGACAGGTGTCTGTGTGGGACAACAGATTACTCGATGAGGCGAGAATAAACTGAGATATTATTATGAACCACAAGAAGATTTCTCTTTTCTACGAGCAATAAGAATCTAGTGTGATATGTATTACAACACCACGAAGGCTCGTAATTCTCTTTACCTGCCCTTGAAATGAACCTCATTTCCCTTTTTCCAAAGAGCGAAATTTTCCTGAATATTTCAAAAGCATTTGCACAAAATTCTGATCACTGAGTCCTCACAAGTCACAACTTGGTTAGATCTAATAAGATACCCTCCCTTTTCCACGGCAGAGGTAACAAAATCGGCTGTTAAACAACAAAATGTATTCACAAAGCAGAAGCATGCAATCAAATCTAGGAGTGCGATCTTAAAATGTTTTAATATTATGTATCTCGAAGGAGATATATAAATATTTTTAGAATATACTTAATAACGGTACCCAACTTCAACAAAATACGAATGGGAACGAATGTTTTGCTAGATATGTCAATGTTTTCTTCGATTTGGACGTGTCCTGAATGAAGCACATGCCTGTCACAGACCTGGGATAATGTTCAGGTGAGTACTTTTTTTATGACGCTCTAGAGATTTCCAATTTTCCCCAACAGTGGTGAATTCGATAAGCATTCCAAACAGAACAAACTGGAAAGAAAACACGCCTGGCCCTATACGAAATGTTTGGCACGGGACATCCACTTACTAGTATGAAAACACGCCAGACCCTACGACTGTTTGGCACGGGACATCCACTAGTATGAAAACACGCCAGGCCCTACCACTGCTTGACACGGGACATCAACTAGTATGAAAACACGCCAGGCCCTACGTCTGTTAGGCACGGGACATCCACTAGTATGAAAACATGCCAGGCCCTACGGCTGTTTGGCACGGGACATCCACTAGTATGAAAACACGTCAGGCCCTACGGCTGTTTGGCACAGGACATCCACTAGTATGAAAACACGCCAGGCCCTACCACTGCTTGACACGGGACATCAACTAGTATGAAAACACGTCAGGCCCTACGTCTGTTAGGCACGGGACATCCACTAGTATGAAAACATGCCAGGCCCTACGGCTGTTTGGCACGGGACATCCACTAGTATGAAAACACGTCAGGCCCTACGGCTGTTTGGCACAGGGCATCCACTAGTATGAAAACACGTCAGGCCCTACGGCTGTTTGGCACGGGACATCCACTAGTATGAAAACACGTCAGGCCCTACGAATGTTTAGCACGGGACATCCACTAGTTTGAAAACACGCCAGGCCCTCCGACTGTTTGGCACTGGCCATCCGTTTGTATTTATCGCAGCCATGTTGTTTTTTTGGTTTTGTTAAAGAAATTATGTATGTGAATAAATGAATAAATGTTGTATTGCTAAAAAAATCAGGCGCGTAGCGGGGGTGGTGGGGGGGGGGGGGGGGGGGGTTCGCGGGGTCCAAATGCTCCTCGGGATTGTGTATAACCATCCGTAATCAACTGTTAATTACACATTAATTAAAAGGTCCACTTTATGGTGACAAAGTCCACTTCATGGTCAAAACGACCCTCCCCTTTCCACCAGGCTGGCTATGGCCATGAAATGTAGATAAAAGAAGCATTTTTTTTCTAGATAGATTAAACAAAAAGAACAACCAAGCAAACAAACAACGAACAAAAATTCAAGGAAGGACGGCACATCTTTAAGCACATGTCAGCTGAAAGTTTCAGTTGGGACCAGTTATTATGCTTCCCAGTCTCGTAATGTTTCTCCTGCCTTCGGGGGTCGACGCCAAAGTTTGGATACTATATATATGTTTCCGAGTCACACGTGAACCAGGGGCAGTCGTGAGCTCATTTGACCTCAGGTTGGATTTTATGTCTTCTGTTCATGCATAAAACCACCTCGTGACGGACTCCGGAGGCTAGATATCTCCCTTATCGACTCATCAATGCCGAACAGGTTGGCAAAGAAATCGTGATCCGATCATTTCCTTCAGACGGATTTAAGGGCAACTCTGGGTTGACCATGGTTCCTGAAGGAAAAGCATGGAGAGCTTGTGAGTCTTGCTGAAATTTCATTCATCTTTGGGACATAACACGCATCGAATCTCATAATCATATGCGGTAAATATCTTCGTCAATCCAACTCAAATTTAATGTCATATATTTTCAATGTATTCGGTTGCAATAGCACTGTATGTCAAAACCGCCAGCTATTAGCATGGAATCATTGTTTGACCCAGATGAAAACCATAAAGCAATGACAATAGCGAAATTAACTCCGGTCCCTGTGCACGCAGGTTTTGAAATTCGGACGTTTGTACTAGGCTACAAAGTTAGATTTGGGAAAACAACTGGAAAAAATTGGATTTCCAACAATTCAAGAATTAAAAACGCACAGAAAGGCAACCATGACCGGTAATTCAGTGTCAGTATGACAAAAATAAATAACTTCCGCATAGCTATGGCAACATCATTTCCACGACAGATGACCAAAATCATATTATTTCTTTCTTTTTTTCTGGGTTTGTATCTTTTTTATTTTGTATTTTAATTTAATTTTTTGGGGTAGTTTGTTCGTGTTTTTGCTTTTTTTTTTTAAATTGTAAATTATGTTTGTAACTCCACACATGAATGTACTTATGTAGTACAAGTTCAACATTTGTGTGCACACTGGATTGGGCATTACACTGACCAGAGGACATTTAACTGAGATCCCCGAAAATAACTGGTTGGAATGAATGCAAGGGTCCTAACCCTGATCCGGTCAATAGCTCAACCTAAATATCATACAAGTAAACGTGATCACTACTGTCTACGTTGCTTCCAACTCTGCTCTTCCATCTGTATCGACAAAAGAAGCACGGTGCCAATAAACAAATTGAAATCAAGACAGTATTGCTTCGGTGCTACATAAGATGCCGATATAGCCTGCAGCCCCAGGCTCACTAGACTAAGCAATGTCCCGCGTTCCACAAAATGAGACAGCATATCGAGTAGAGCATCAAACCAAAGCTTTCTAGACGGATTTAACAAGGACGGCCAAAATCCGGCTCTCTATTTTCCTAAGATTAAAGTTACAGCGAAACTAGATTTCGACATGGCCTCTTTTCTTTATAGAATCCGTGCCGCTGGGTGGAAATTGTCCGTCGTCTTGCCGACTGATCCCCAGTCGTGACTACCGAACCTTTTTGGCTAGTCCCTCTGCGTTTAATTACTTGCCGGTCACTGATAAATAATTCCCTCCGTACTAGCTGCGCAGGATATGTTCCCGGATCTGTACCGCAACAACAGAGACAAGATCACGAAATCTTCTCGCTCTTCATGTTTTTCTTCATCCTCGAGAAGATTGCATGTTGATTCCCGCGAAAATGTCAAATGACCAAGTCTTAGGGAGAAGTCTGAGTAGATCAGATGTTTCGATTACTGTAACATCAACTTGCTTGCCGAGTTATGAGAATCTCAAGCTCAACTCTTCTGAAGGAAAACCTGTCATTCTGCAGGTTTGTCAGAAGTGTATCGATATCTTACCTTGAGTTTGGTTATCGCAGGGGACGGGTCATCGGCGAAAATGGCCTCCGACAAAATATTAATTCCGTTGTCTTCCATCATTTTCACTTGCTGGCTTTGTGCCTGTGCATAGATACGAGAGGACAAATCGGTTAAATAACGGATGTGGCAATGATACATATGTAAGTGTCATATATAATTGGGTTATGTTTGCAAATGACATGCATGTGAAACGCTTACTCTATGTCTGAAGTTGTTTGAGCCACATTAATGTAATGCCCCTATTAATATTACAAAGTGTTTATAAAGATGCCATTTGGCTCTTACATATCAGTACATGTTCCTAATGTGTATAAATGCGTTATCATATACTGACTTTTTCAAAACATATTTAGCCTAATGTCATCTTAATCTTCCAAGACATTAAATTGAAGACATATTTTTTTTAAATGCTGGAAAGTAATATGTACTATTTTTTTTTAAATTTTGCAATCAACATTATGATCATTGTTTTTTTCAACCACATGTTTACCAGTTGTACCCCTACATGTCTTCAACATACAAGAACCTTATACATCTGCTTTTTCTCCCAAGGTTGAACACTTTAAGATTTAAATGTGTCTCATCTGTATTAGGTATAAAAGACGTGTTTCTTTAATTTCATTGGTGACGCCACCCCAGTTTCTTTTTTCATATTAAATCCGTATCGCCTCATACTCGAGGTGACATTACAGAATTCGTACGGATAATTGCAATGGTTACAAAGGCTTACCGTATCGAGCTAGTATTAACAATTTATTTCTTGTCATTATTTAACGCTGAACCGAAGAGTAGCTTGGCGTCATTAAAGGCTCCATGACATGAATTTTTTTTAGGAACATATTTTGTGCAACTTTGTACTTCTCTTAAATGTATGAAAACTATTTTTAACATCCCTCTTTGGTTAATTTTATTCAAAAGTGCACTTCTTTAAACATTTATAATGTTCCATTTTTTCCCAGACAACTGAGGGTGCTTTTGCTGTGATGTCATTTCAGGAAGACACTGTTCAGTTTAGGGGTTTTCTGTTCAAATTGTGAACCCAAAATTTTGCTCATTGAAAACATTTGTGAGAAAACTTTGCTCATTGGCTTACTGCCATGTACTGACACAACAACGAGTCACCAAAGAAAAAAAACATTTACAACAGCAAATTATCAAAATTCTGGCAGCTTTTGGTACTGAAATAGCTGTAACATTGAGGCTTCTGCTTGAAATGACATCACATTTTTGCTCATAAATGTTTAAATTCGCATCAGCATAAAAACTCAAAATGCACCAAAAACCCTTGAAAAAGGCAAAACGAAAATTGAAAATAAGTATTAAAAGGACACAAAGGTGCATTCTCAAGGATTGCATTAAAAGATTACATTGCATGGGCCCTTTACAATACTGTCGAGATTGCATTGCACAATCATAATGTGCATGTCTAATTGTACACTGTATATGATTTTTGCATTTAGTGCATAGTGCATTTTCAAAGGAATAACATCTTTACAATTTGTGTAATATAAGATGAATGCAATCATGAGCTTGTTTATAATGATGTACCGAATCACGGAATGTGCAAAATAATTGCATCCCGGAATTCTTACTACCTTCGGGCGGTATGTGAATAGAGATTGATCACTCTCAGCAACTACTCCAGATTACGTTACATTCTGAGCAAGCCGTGCTGCACTGCCCGAGGATGTTTAATGTCAAAACAATCAGATTGGGTGACATTATTACATGTCTTCTTTCAACAAGGCTTTGATTGTATTCTTCTTTACATCCTGCAGTTTATGATCAGGATGGAACGTCGTTCACCCGGTGTCAGTACTTCCAAAAAACATCTAAAACTCCAGAGTGAAATAAAAAAAAATTGCGGCAGGTAAATTAATCCCCAAGGTGAAAAAAACCATTCAATTATTGCAGTCTGAATGTTATGTTTAGGCTTGCAGAACTTTGTGGGTTAAAAAAAATTTAACTGCGAAAGCACATTGAAGAGGCACGAGGAGAAGGATCGACGAAAAAAGTTATACGCGTTTAAGACAAACCATCATCTTAGGCCATCCTTACACTGACCATGTAGGCAATCTCCAATAATTCATTTAGCCGAGGCAACGTTCAAGAAGGAATCGGTGGATGTCTTTACAATTGCTTATCTTCCTCGGATGAAAACAGTCTGAATGGATAACCTAAACGAATGTTTTATGCCATTTAATCCACATGTGAATTAAAGTTTGTGCTGTTATTATGTTTAGTTTATAATCGAATAATTGAAGATGTTATTGGCCTGAAAGCTTGTGTGAGTATACATCATGCTGTCAATTCCATGTAAACAGGTTGAGTGTCCGCCCATGAACCATACTTTTTCCAAGTTTTACTATTTCCCCAACGGTTCGTTGCTCTAATGGACGCAACTTATTAGATTTCTACGTCCATCGCTACAGCGGTATAAGATCACATTCACGAACGGAGAGCATCCATCAAGCTAATTACCGTTTGAAGTATGACACGTAGAAACTCTGTAAAAAGCACCGCGGACCAGCATCAATGTTCACCAAAGAAGAGCTACTGTCCCCCTAAGGGGAAGGCGTTGAGTGTGGCCGGCCGTTTAATATCGGAACCGACACGGTGTGAACCATTCCTCAGACCAATATTATTACCGTGGTCTTTTGCAAGGAACCGACACCGCTCAATAACGAAAGAGGGACAGGGACTCAGGCGAGAGAAGACGGGTAGATGGAGTGTCTCAGTGAGAAAGGAGCCGACACCGACCACATGACGAGTTAATGCTGTACTTTAATATCGCTGGCCCGGCGGATGGTACTTTGCAGTTTATTAAAAGACGATCGGCTGCACTTTCATGTTTTGCTTTTAGGGAGGTGGAGGACCTGAGTCCCGTCTTGCCTTCAGAATTTTCATTACAACGTGTAGATCACTCCGGATCTGTTAGCATACGGATAGATTGAGTACGTTGGAATAGGAAAGGGACACTAAGCATTCTGTGGCAAATGGAGATTACTTTCGAGAGCATACATTAGACTCATTAGGACGGGCTTTCGGCAGCTGTAGAGCATGCAGTTTGTGTCCCGAGTGCAGTTTGCGTCCCAAGTTATTATTTTTTTTTATACGCACGGTGAAGCTTCCTTACAACGTTTACTGTTTAAACTGTTCATCGCTTTGGTTCTTCACACTCAACAAACCAACCATTCAACCATTTTGTTAACCATCTCTGATGCCATAGTATGAGTTTATCGTGGAATCTTGACCACTTGTTTCCATGAGCAGTGTGAATGCAATAGAGCGCCCTACATGTCTCTGTTTCCTCTGTAGGTAGACACTTTGTATATTCATTGTCACTGAATTTAAAGTCACGTATATGATCATTTGAAATAACCAAGAAAAGTACATATCGATAAAATGACAGAAACCTTGCTTAAAATTAAAGATAGGATTGGTATTAAAAACCCTTTGAAACAATTCCGCCTGAAATTGTATCATTCAGATGAAAATATTAATTGGAGGTGATTTCAAAAAGTTTACTCGTGCACATGTTTTACCATGTGTGTTAAAATTGTATAGTAGCAATGTACTTCAGATGTTGATTTTTTTTATGCTTCAAATGAAATAAAAATATGCACCAAGAACACTGATCCTACACGTGCATGTTTTCCTTCCTCCGTGGATAGATAGATCGATCTCATGGTCCGCTCGTCCTATAGGGCGCTAATAACGGATAATCCCTGTCACAAACCTGTTTTTCGAATTAATAATTTCCCCCCCTTTTTGGACTTCTTCAACCCTGTGAAATAAAGGTTGTTTCGGGCACAAACAGATCCGCTCTGCGAGCACACTGGCTCCCGCTCCGAACAATATTGTCTAACAGCCAATATTCCGAAATTGTAAAGTAATGACTTAATAACAAAACACGGGCCGATTTATTTTTCCCGGTCGATTTTTCATTTAAAAAGTATTACCTTTTGTGTTTTGTATAGAAAACTGGCAACTTCGAAAAGATATCTATTTTTGGGATGAAACTCGAAAATTGCACGGGGAACACAACTTTAAGAAAAAGCGTCGCAAAGCATTGTGGGTAGGTATCCAATGACAGCTCAAAGCAAATAAAGGCCATCCTTGGATGTGTGTACCTGTGACATTCTGATACTTACGTAAAAGAACCTCGGTACGTCCTGATGAATGGTGGATATGGTGGTCCAGTTGAAGTACATGAATAGTCTCAATCTTGCCGCCCCGATGTCCATCTCCGACGGCACTGTGCGGAAGAAATACGGGTACTTCTGTCGCTTGGACAGGGCCGGAGTGGTAGCACCATAGGAAAGCTGGGTATACAAAGAAAGCAATGGAATAAGTGCTGGGGCATATTTGATCACAAGGCAATAGGCCTCAGATAAAGTTGCCTGTATTACCCAATGCAGAAAAGTTCTGTCTAAGTCTTGTGAGATGGTTGCTCATCTCGGTAAGATGGGGATGACACAATTTTGTCTACTTGCTTTCCCCTTTTTTCTTTCCTTCAAACTTCGAGTCCAAATTGTGTGGCTTCAAACCTTATAGGAGCAACCTCCACGAAAAGTGCCACATTTACACACATGTTAACATGTCCACTAAGTCATTCAATTAGCTGCAAACCATTTGTGTCCAAGAAATATATACACTAACAAGTGGCAAGTTAGAAACTGAACACATAACGTGTCTGCGAACGCCACAAGCAGTTCTATATTCACAAAGATATCTTTTGAAGAAGTTTTCACGTGTATACTTTTAAAATAATCATCCATGCATGTACTTTTTTGAACATGATTATTATTTGTAAACATATGGTTCAACAAACGTATTTATTTGAAATGAAACACATCGCTTCGTTAAATTGCTGCAAGTCGCCGATGATGTCAAATACTAATTAGTGCTTAATCAATACTTCTGGCTGCACATTTCTTTTTCAAACATATCTCGCGAATTCCAGATAAGGTAGTAGTATTATTGCACCATGATCTGACATGTATCGCGTATTAACCAAACAGGATACATGACTTCTTCTGGCAGCGGGTTGGAGCATAAAGGAATCGTGTATTAATCTGTGATTGTCAACACTCAACATGCCTTGGAATAAGCCTTTTGAATTGCTAGTCGTAACTATTTATCTCAAAAGACACAGCCCCAACTTGCGGGTAATCTGGTCCAAAGTTACACAGCCAGATCTGTCTAGGCGCCAGTCTGGGACAGTCTTCAAGTGAGATATACAGCAGCGTGGACGTGTATTAGGGAACAGGACGAACACAGCCATGGGCCATTAGTCACCGCCAACATTATAACGCCAGATGAAAAGCCTGAAATGCGCAGTTGATTGAGTGAAACCCGAGCACTTTTCTTCATCCTGTGAGGAATATTCGGTCTTGATTGGCGATCATCATAAAATGCATCGTCTACAATTTCATGTGGATATTAGATTCCTCTCTGGTCCGGAGAGGAAAGCACGCGGGCTGTTTTTCCTATTGTAATTGCGACCTTAATGCTGCTCCTCTCAATGCACTGGCGTCAACCCGGTGACCAGAGATTTCAAAATTGAGATATCTAAAAAAGGGGAAGAACCGCATTTTCGTCCTGGATGTGAAGTTGATGCATGGTACGGAATGTTACTACTGGTGCTTGGATTTGTCTGTTTGAAATGCTGGAAACGTACAGTATACCTTCAGATATCGCTCAGCATTACATTGTTCAATCGATTTGAAAATGGAAAGGGTATAGCAGTTTTTATCTGAGGAAATCCTCAGATAATTATCTCATCGACTTCAAGTTTACTTTTAGTGATTTTATTATGATTGGAAACTGTGGTTGTTGAAGGAGGATGTTTCAATAATAAAAAATACCCAAATGATCTCGTTAAGGAGTTTCAATGTAAGAAATTGCAGACACGAATGAAAAAAGAAATTATACCGTTTCAGGGAGAAGTTCAGCGAACTTTAACACCCCTTTTAAAGTTCGAAGCAAAAGCCACATGTTGTGTGTAAACGTTAAAATTTCAGTATTAGATCATCTCGATAATATGAAACGAAAAAAAAATAGATAAAATATTTAGATGTTTCCTCATCAAGAGGCGAGAGAAATTCCCTCGCCAAAAAGACCAACGCATGGCTGTTTGAATACGAAGGACAGTCGACTTGATCAAAATTCTAATATTCCAGAATGTTCACTGACTTTAAGGTCCGCAATCCCTAGCGACGCGATTTACGATTTCAATCGATAGTATATGATTTCTCCGCTTATATTTATAAAAAAAACTTTGGTTGTAATTCGCTTACAGGCGCAAAAGCTTGAGTCGCTCAATGCTGCGCTGCTCCTGTCCGTCTTCCCGGATTATGTACCTCCAAGAGCAAGAGATTGCATCTCTACCTCAAAGCAAGAGGCAAACTAACCACAAACACCGCAAGATGGTGAGACAAAATGATTATACCTCTGCGTTCAAAGATTCACTTTCCGATACTACGGGTGCTTAATCCCCACACCCGACCCAAGTCGTTCTCGCTGGAGAACACAACTGAGATTTGTGTCCCTTTTAATCTTTCTAAGAAATGTTAAAGCTGCTCTCCTGAATTTGAACAATGACTTCATATTCTGAACATACTGCGTGCAGCCGTAGCACAGGAGAGAGTTTTCTTGTCCAAGTGCCTTATGTCATTTATTCTTAAAAGCCTTGCAGGCAAATACGATTCACTTATCCACGAAGCCTTGGGGCTATAAGTAAATTGCTCAACTCTAAAATATGGGTCTTCCGGCAAAAATCATGGAGAAGTATATCGCTACTCAATTTTTCCGAGAAAATGATCCCTCAAATATTAACAACCACAATTCATACAGGCGTGCGTTCATAATTTTTGGCACCAGACAGACTTTAATATTCTTTGCCTGCTTTATGTTGGGGATAATTATCGCTTAAGCATATATCACAAAAATAATGTTTGCCCAATCTTTTGCGCGACCAGTTCGTCATGTCTCTCCACACCAAGTAAGGTACATTAGGTTGCGTATAAATACATATGACAATCAAAATTACCTTTCCTTGTTATGTTTGGCACACACGTGGTATGTCTGGATAAGATTGCACACGTCTTCATTAATTCAAGTATCACAGCAAAAAGGTGCAGGGAGCCTACTGGCAAAGACATTAATATTTCGATGGTTATCATCTGTTTTTTTCCTTGAATTGGACATGACTCTGTCCCTTTGTACTTTGTATTTGGAAAGAATCATCATTTCTTACCTGGACAATTTTCCAGAAATGTACCGCCTCAGCAATGGGTTCCGTGACCACTTGACATGCACCACCGAAGACCATGTACTTAGGCGGGCCTGAGGCCAATGACTCGAAGAAAGCCTTCATTCCAGTCGCCATATCGCACTAAAGAAACGAAAACAAAACATTCAAAAAATCATCTGATGAAAGTGAATGTTGGTCTAAACATTGTCGTTACAGTGCAACGTATCAATAGGATCATTCTACACATTGTATTTGTGAAACACTGAGACCTTTGGTATAAAGCGCTGTTATTATGATCTTCAACTATCTGACTTCATACGTCAACACATAGGTATTTAATGTACAAAGTTGTACCACTATACACAAATGAAAGGGGAAAATACTTGGGTGACAATTAAACCCCATTAAGGTATAATTAAGATTGCTTTGTAAATAATTTGCTACATTTAAGAGCCGTTTGGATAATTTCGGTTAAAAGTAACGGTCACTGCCGGTGGGGGAGAACTGAACTGTTCTCATATAACTTTAGGTTGAGAACAGGTCCGCGTTGCTCACACAGCAATGAAGCTTTTCTGACATGTATCTGTGTACTTTAGTATGGCGTGCATTCTTGACATTTAATCCAAATAAGAGGTATCTCTATTAGGAATAGAGATATCTCTATTAGGAATAGAGATATCACTGTTTCGGACGCACAAAGTTAACATTTAATCCCTGTAAGAGAGATATCTCTGTTATTAATAGAGATATCTCTATTAGTAATAGAGATATCTTTATTATTAATAGACATATCTCTATTTCCTTGATTAATAGAGATATTTCTATTGCTAATAGAGATATCTCTATAAGCAACAGAGATATCTCTATTGCCAATAGCGATATCTCTCTTAGCAATAGAGATATCTCTATTAATAATAGAGATATCTTTATTAATAGAGGTAATACAGATATCTCTATTATTAATAGAGATATCTCTATTGCTAAGAGAGATATCTCTATTTTGGATTAAATGTCAAGAATGCACGCCATACTTTAGGCTGTATGTTTCGCGTAATGGAACACATTTGCTGTGAACACATTGTCATGTGGAACACTGTGGCGTTTTGCAGTGTCTCCGGTACAACCTGTAACGAAGTTTCTACGTGTTTCTGTTTTACGCTGTGGTTCACCCATGCACCCAAGACAGTTTTCTATCAAATATTTGCATAGGTTTTTCTAAAATAAGACTTACATAATGTCCAACATTCAGACACTCTTAAAAATGAAATATGGCACTTTCTGGTAAGTATTCTCATTTTTATCGAAAATAAAGTTCTGATAAAGTTGCCGTTTTGGCTTAAAAAAAAAAATCCTCCGGAGGTTTGGTCTCACAAACCCACGTCATGAATTTGGACTGTTTCCCATCAATTCATTCCATCTGATCATCTTGGAAATCTATGTCCTTATAGGTCCCCGAAGTGACGTCCCTGTACCTGTGCATGGTAACCCATGGTCTCTTTGCGCCAACGCATAAAAGAGAGATGGAGAGAAATGAGGAAAGAAAAGGTGTTCTCTCCTCGGGGCAATGCACTGGGTCTTCTAGTCGGCCGCACTTATATTGGACAAACACGGCGTTGAAATGATTACAGATGACGTGAATTGCTAGATACAATGCGTTCTGACACGTGGCTCTATTGAACGGACTGACAGCTCAGTAATGTAATTTCTCTAATGGAAGTTGCCGCCGGCTTTCGCGCATGCTACGGATTCGGCTTGCGATTTTGTTTTCACGAGTTGGATTTGCTTTCTTCGATCTGATGTTCTTGCCAGCTTTCATTACGTTGTTCACTCAGTGAAGCAGTACCGGTGCAAGCTTTCTCACGCTTTTTTCTCACGCACACTTTTCCAGATCGCAACATGACGAAGCTTTTTGCGAATGCACGGTGTTTTCTGCTGATCTGAAGTGACAACCGATTTTTATTCTGTAAAGGAGTTTGCCGGCCAAGTTTCATGTTTCCCCCCAAATCATGATATCCACGATGTAACAGAAACAACCAGTTCACAAGCATCGGATAATGAAGTTAATGACCACATTCCATACTCTCTAAATTCCAAAGAGTGAAATTAGGGACTAGACGTTTTAGAGTGAAAATCACTCTCATTTTAGATTGAAAAAATCTCAAAAAGAACCACTTCAGTCGAAGCTCGAGTGAAAACTCGATCTTTACGATTGAAGGAATTTCACTCTAAAACGTTTAGTCCCTAGTTTCCCGACTGTGGGAGTGAATCTTCACTCGAATGGAGTGAATGTTCACTCTTTGGAATTTAGAGAGTAAAATATATCTTCTCACAATTTTTCCCACTTTGTCGTGAAAGGAATTACAGCTGATTTTCGATATAACACATTTTGACATCTAATAATATGAACCATTATGTGGGTGAAACTGTTGACTTTTCCTAAGAATTTGTATTGTGTAAGAATTGTAGAGCACATTACTGAAAAGTAACTCTAGCGACTTAAGACTCATTTTGTTGGCTGGTCGCATTTGTTACTTATTGTCGTCAAATAAGACACCTAGAACCGGAAAAAAGATCTATCTAGGCCAAATGAGGTAACATTTGAAACCGTATGATAAGATCAACTAATTGCAATATGTACATTTACCATAACAAATCATTGGCTTGACAATACCATTGGCTTGACAATTAATAAAAAAAAAAAACACGAGTATCTCGACACGAACATATTCAAGAACTAAAACAAAATAATGTCCATTTTAACGACCGTGCCACCGAAGATGACGACCGCTTAAACACGCAAACAACAATAACAAACTGATGATGTCAATGACAAGGAATTAACGGCATCTGATATACCAATAACACCAGCAAGGGAAACATTGTGAAGTGTTTTGCGGTTCTCGATGTTAAATCAAACACTTGCAGCTTGAGTTCAGAACAGGAATCAACAAACAGACGGCTGTTTGTACTGAGTCGTGTGCTAGCTCCTGGTGTCAGGAATATATTTGTTATGTACAGCGAGCGCAGCTTCAAACCAAAATGTCTCAGCGATGTTTACACGTGCCATGTCATTTCCGCGCAATAAGCTAAGGTGATGGATGCCAGATATACATAATTGAATTTAAAAGCAATTTCTCACGAAAATTGCCCGTATTGTGACGAGATGAATCGGTATGAGTGGTTGGAATTATACCGTGAATATGCTCAGGCTGGGCCATAACGCTTTTGTTGCACACAATGAATCCATCTTGGATGACAACTCTTCAATAATAGATAATACATATTAAAGACCTGAGAAGTAATTACAATCAAAAGATAATATTTAATGGCTAAGATACGATAATTATTCAGCTACCAACATTGTCGTACCCAGGGGGTGAGCATTAGGAAAAGGGTGATGTACTATACAACGTTATCATGGCATTAGAGAGTTCACGGATTGCAATTTGAATTTACTTCACTCTCTCTAAATTTAGAAAGAATCCTGTGCCCCAGTGTCTCCCTGTCAATTCTGCCGGTTGAGGGTTTTTCGCTTGTATTCAATGCAGTTATCATGGCCGAGTGCGATGAGGAACCGATATGAACGCTTCATCGAACCCCGCGGAGAAGATTTCCAGCTGCCGGCAGCTCCTTCGTGTGAGAAGAAGAAAAAGTCATTCAGGCAGAAGTATCAGACGTCAAAATCACAGACTGAAACCCCTGCACGATTTGGTGTCTTGAATGGCAGTTTGGGTGAGTGCCAGCCTCCCAAACATTACCTACAGTACACGCACCGTAAAGGCTATAGAAGAACCAACCATCAGGTAAAACCCACCCCACTACTCCATGTCCAACAGCTATTTACCGGACTAGAAAACGCGGACAGCTGAACCACTTATTTGGGCTAATTCTAGCGTCTGTGCTGAGATTATTTCTGTCGACCCGGGGAAAAACATTTGTGGGTGACATCCAATAACTTTTTTTCTTTGCTTGCTGCGCCGCAGGGACGTGCGAACTCACAAACAGAAGACGCCTAGCAGTTGACGAGGACAGGTGAAATAACCAATCGCTTCAAACTGCCTGGAAATGGCTTTGCGCAATGGCGTGGCAGCGATTTTGGAAGCTGATTGGACATGAATAATTAAGAAATATGAGACCCTATGAGATCGCCCATGGCTGGAGTTTTTTAATTGCACTTCATCCAAATTGCTCATTTGGCTTGTCCCTCCCTCCCTGAGCCCTGTCCCTGAATGTCAGTTAGAGCCAAAAGAAGTCATTACCTCGGGAGGAGTAAATGTCATGCTTTTTAGATCTTTATTATACCCGGTTTGAACAAGTTAACTCCAAATGCGGATATTTCATTAGATAGTTAAAAATAGATCCAGCTAAAAGTCAGTGAGTGGTTTCCTACCTGATGCCACAATACAATGAATGATTGACTATGATATTTAAGCTCTCTTGTTTTGAAGACGTCAGCCGCTATTGTTCTCTATAATGACTCATGTTGATGATTCTAATATCAGTTAAATCCTCGCATTGATCTTTGATAATTCCACAGTGCGTTGGCTTGAAGTTAAGAAAAACTTGCCGTTATAATGCTTTCGCTTGCACATTATTAGTGTACCCGATAACAGCATCGAAAAATAGCCGGGACTTATCTTTGTTCAAAGAAACAGTCGAAGTATTTTCCTTCGTGCCTGCTGACTTGGCCGCGAGATGCTTGATACGTGAGACTTGACTGTCAGCAATCTTACCTCGCTATAAACGCGCGGTCGCAGGGTCTGAAAGGTTAGAAAAACATCGACGCAGGTTTTTAGCTGATGACGATGTCGATTTTTTTCTTACTATTTCGACGAGAACCATTCCCAAGGGTGCTTCTACTTGTTTGAAAAGGGAGAACACAATAAATGCGGAATGCTTTTAGAAGCAGATTCATGAAAAGCAGATGGCATGATCTCTGTGTAAGTATTGATGGGACTAACTGCTCACAAGGGAAATTGTGAAGACGAATCTAGAATGTAATCACGTGGGCCTTCCTTTATAACATGAAGAATAGACGAAAAAAGACTGTAGTATTGCAACATCGTGGTAGAAAAGCTGGCATCCATTAAAAAAAAAAAAGAAATATAAGAATAGAAATTGAAGACCGGATGCCTTT